ACAAACATCAAGTAGACTCAAACTAAGGTATAAAAACGTTAAATCGAGCATATCTCTCTCATGTTTTTACAATTGGAACCCTTCGGGAAAATGTCCTTATAATTTGTCATAACCTCTAGATGACCTCAGGTCAACTGAACTTGGAAAGCTGGGAGGTACGCGATGGCACTCGGCGAGCTTAGCATATCCTTCAACTTGCAAGTTTGAATCAACTTGATGAACTCCTAGATAGATTTCCTGGAAAATAGTGTATTTTCAGTGTCAGTTTGACAATGTACCGATTTTTGTGACCTTGTGACCTGACCTGAGGTCACTGGAACTCAAAACTTCCAGGACACGCGTCAAATGAACGCCCCAAGTTGTACTTGAAATTAAGTAGCGCTATGTGGTATGGCACTCACGCTATTAATGAAAAGCTCGTGTCGTTCCGTTTCCGCTCAACTTTGTCGTCCAATTTATCCTGAACAAGGTTTTTGTGACCTGGTAGCCTGACCTAAAATAACTGAGACCTGAATTTGAAAGATAAGTGTCCGAATGCTGCCCTAGAGGGTATGCCAAATTTGGCAGCGTTACACGCCGCCGTTTTTACGCTACTTGCGAAAACCCTTAGGTGAGTTGCATCAACTCCCTCACCGGGCGGGGGTTAAATCTCCTTCAACAGCATATAAATGCTCCCAGATTAGACTGGAGGTCAGTTGTTTAGCCCCGAAACGACAGAACCCGTCGAAATGGACATTTTGTGGAAAACGTTTTGATGAAATAGTTTTGCATGGGCTGCAGGGAAATTTCGCTTTATACATGACTGCTTCTTTATAAGCGATGCTGATCTTCGACTTAACCGCCACATACCAATAACTGCATTGATTTGCAATTCTATCATACTCAGTCTAGGAGGTCATGACATGACTTTATGCATATGCGTTTCAGGTAAACCGTTGCTTTCCGAAGCGGCTGTTTGTCTTTATTGAAGACGCGATAGGACTATCGATTTCAGCTGACGCGGCCGATGGATGATGAGAATCGAAGAGGTCGTTCAGAATATTGACGGCTGACCGGTCCTGAGTGTCCCGCCTGGGCAGCACCTCAGTCCTCGCTCAACCGCGAGCGGGTCGCTGTTTGCAGCCATCTGTGCTTTCAGAACATACATCGAGTCAGTGACTACAGAGCGTCACAGGTTGGCCGTTCGAACACTCAGCTGTGGGTACACATTGGATCCGTGAGGTACCGAACAGAAATGACGGTAAATCTAGCGATTCGTCATTTTGGCGCTAGGGATGGAGAGCAATTGTGATTCATAAAGCACCTTTTGGGCTTTTTGGTGAAAGACTTGGTGACTTGATCGCTAGTTGAGTCTGATAATTAGTATCTCGGGGAAGAGCCAAGCAGACAAATGGCTCTTATGTGTAAAGAAATGCTGACAACACGATGGACAGTGTGGATAGTTGTGATTGTCTGGAATCTTCAAACGTGTAACGCTCAAGACAGCTACAAAAATCAACTGTAAGTATGTGTAGCTGCCTATTTTCTTATATTACGCCCATTTTAAAGCATTTTACATTGATGTACATACATATGCATTCAGACGTTTACCAGACTAAGTGACCTCGCTAGGAAACTGAAACTACAGCAGTTGTATCTATCAAAAGAAGGATGCGATGCATGGATAACGGCAACGCGCATCATTTGAGGATACTGCTCCGCCTTACATGCGTGCTAGGCGGCACAGTCTACCCTGATAGAACGACGCGCTGAAGCTGTCACTACAGTAGTGCAGAGCTACCTCTGTTTTTCATAGAAAGCAAATATAGGTTGGAAACGTAAATACGGCAATTCTAGCGCATTTAAATGTCTGACTTCTTCAATTTCACCAACTTTATTTCACATATAACTTTTCACCCGCGCCCCAGTGGCGCACAGTGATGCAAATGGGGTTCACGAGTGGCCATAAATACTGAAAAGGCCCAAATTTCAAGCTCACCTAATCGAATAAATCGTAATATGGCCAGTCAGCCAAATGTTTGGGGTGTCTGAAAAACATGATTCTCATGTTTTTTTCTCAAAACCGGCCTCGTATATGATTGTCAGAAGTCGTGACATTTTTTATGTCGCAAAATGACTGTCAGATACTCCCAAGTTCAAACTCCGCTAGTGTGCGTTCATTTCATACAAATGGCAACAATTATGCATGGCAATAATCCCCAAAGCCTTCTGCTTCTAATGCTGGGTAACAAAAAGCCGTATCTCTTTTGGTTTGGCGTTGATCGAACTATTTGTCATCATGTTGCAATCGCAGTTTTTTACTATAAAATATTTGCTTTCGTTTCATCTACAGCAGTTTACACATTGTGTGCCCGTTAGTCCACCATACCATTGCATTCCCTAATCATTTCTGAGCCGCACTGTGAAAGAATTAAGGCGCTAGCACAGGGCTGCCGGCGCTACTAAAGTTTTCGTCCGTTGTGGTCGGGTGCCGCGGCGCGGTGGGCGGCCCGGGCGGCCGCGCCGCGGGCGGGCGGCCACAGCGGGGGTTGGTCGGTGCATACCCATGCTGTTCCTAAACGAAACGTCCTAGCGCCTCGCGACAAAAACCAACGGCTTGCTCTTGACAAGACCTCGCGAGTGAACATATTTTTTTGACTTAAGGTCAATATTTGACCTACTTATAGCAGGTCAAAGTCAACCGTCTGTCGAAATTGCAAATCCGCGGTGAAAGCAATCCGCCTACCCGCCGCCCACCGCGACACCCGACCGCGCCCGACAAAAACTTCAATAGCTCCGGTCTGCCCTGTGCTAGCGCCTTCATTCTTTCACGGTGCGGCTAAGAAATGATTGGGGAAGGCTAAGAAATAGTGGACTAACGGGCACACACAACTGTGTACTGTAAACTGCTGCAGGTGAAACGAAAGCAAATCATTTTTAGCAAAATACTGCGATTGCAGTATGATGACAGATGGTTAAATTACCGCCAAACCAAAAGAGATACGGCTTTTTGCGACCCATCATGAGAAGCAGCAGGCTTAAGGGATCATTGCCATGTATAATTTTTGCAGTTTGTATGAAATGAACGCACGCTAGCGGCGTTTGAACTTGCAAGTACCTGACGGTTATTTTACGACATAGAAAATGTCACAAATTCTGACAATCATACACGACGCCGGTTTTGACAAAAACATGAACTCTATGTGATTTCAGATGACCCCAACATTTCTTTGGTTGGCCATATCGCGATTTACTCGGTTTGGTAAACTTGACTTGTTGGTATTTATGGCCACTCGTGAACCACATTTGCATCACTGTGTGGCGGTCTCAGCCAACTTCGCCATAGTGGGGGGGGGGGGGGGGTATATGTTACCACACATCTCTAACTCAAAAACTAAGAGGGCTAGATAGACGCAATGCGTTCAGTCATTGTTCATCTTAGAGCAATATTGGGGTCACCAGAGGTCATCAAAGGTCAAGATTTGCCAACTGTCATTATATTTTTCAGAAAACATGCCGTTATCTCAGGAACTCTGATAACTAGAAAAACGCATGGAAAAGTAATCGATAGCTTTTGAACATTTCTTTTGATAAGGTCATATCAAAGTTGACCTTAGGTCAACGGTTAAGCCTCCATAGGTCAAATATTGTAAAAATAGCTGTTTTTGGATACAACTTTTTCACGAATAACTTTTGAACCAGCAAAGATGAAGAATTGGCAATGGCACTATCGTTTTTATCTCCTTCAGTCGCTTCGAAACATATATTTGTACTCCCTGGAAAGGTCAAGGTCAAATTTTGACCTCAGGTCAAGGTCATGTGGTGACCTTAATAGGTCATGTTGGATATCATTTGATGCGTCTCGACAAGACAAACACAATGAAGCCATCCCCAGCGTTCTATCTCTTTCCAATCGAGAGTTTTTGGCAAAAATCTGTTTGTAGCCTCAAATGACCTGGGATGACCTTTCTAGAGGCTATCAGCCAAAAGACACCTTGGTCGTCATGGGTGGTCCAAATCATTGTGATTCTGAAATATTTGGACTGTTCCTATGCGTACACACGGATCTAGAGGCATTTTAATTTTCTCCATTGACTTATAATGGAAAGGTCACGCCACTGCACTGTCCTGACCTTAGGTCACGGACATAAAAAATCCGAGATAAACAAATTATAGGCGCCCATAACATCATGCAATCCACCAAGTTCAAACCTCTCTGACAAACACTGCAGGCTGGACATCATTGCAAACTTTTTTAGGCTTGGTCAGTTAACTTAACCTGGTGACCTGACCTGACATGACCTGGGGTAAAATTTGTTCACACATTGTCCAAAATTGATAAACAGAAGGATACTCCAAGCGGCGTCGCGGTTTTTTATTCACACGCAAAAATTGCGACAGGGTGGTAACATATGCCCCCCCCACTGGGGCGAAGGTTAAAGGAGTTAATTCATTATTACTTTATGTAAATCATTTACTTAGCGACACTGTCATTCAAATGCAGGTTAAAAGCATTGTTTTGCTTTATGGCAAGCATTACATTGAACTGACAAAGATGTTATATTCCCCACAGATTATCCGCCGAGGAAAATGCCGACAATGCTACGTGCAGAGTGCAGCCGATCTACAACGTCCTTCCGAAGGATTACGACAAATACATGCCTCCGTTCACCAAAGGTCAGCCAGTCAAGCTCAAGGTCACCTTCTGGATTCTTTCCATCACCGAAATCAGTGAAATGAGACAGGATTTCACAGTCGACTTGTACTTCCGCATGATATGGCACGACTACAGATTGCTGTTTCCTGTGTGCGAGCATCGGCCCTTCATCGTAATGGATACTGACCAGTTGGAGGATATCTGGCTGCCGGATCTTTTCTTCAAGCAAGCAAAGAAGTCATCGAGACACGATGTTGTCCGTTGGAATGCAGCTCTCAAAATCAACAGAGCAGACAAAAGCATATTCTACTCGGAACGGTTAGCGATCACCAACTTTTGTGCTTTCGATTTTCGATTTTTCCCCATGGACCGTCAGCGATGTTCCCTGCCTGTCGAGTCGTTCAACTTTTACGCCAAGTACATCAACCTGACGTTCCAACCACCGGGAATCTACTTCAACAACTTCAAGTTCAAGATTCCGCAGTACACCCTGAGCAGCGTAGAGCCGCGCGACTGCTCCTATCACTACCAGTACGAGAACTCATACCTGAACCACACCTGTGTCGAGGCCAGCTTCATCTTCGACCGCCAGTTCAGCTACTACTTCGTGCAGATGTACCTGCCGTCCATCCTGATCGTGCTCGTCTCCTTCCTCAGCTTTTGGATCCCGGTGGAGAACGTCTCCGGCCGCGTGATGCTGGGGGTGACCTCGCTGCTGACTCTAGCCACACAGTTCACCACCGCCCAGCGCTCCCTGCCACCCGTCTCTTACATGAAAGCCATGGACGTCTGGATGTTCTTCTGCATCGTCGTCGTGTTCTTTGCCATGGGGGAGTTCACGCTGGCTTACAGCTTCAAGAACCTGCGGCTGGGCGTCGGCAGCCGGGTGAGGCCGTTGCTAGTCAGACCGAGGAAGGTGGCCACCATTACAGTGCTCCCCGGGGACGCAGAGGTCACCAAACGGCGCATCGCCTTCGGTGCGACGGCAGACTCAGAAGAGCAGCTCGATCAGAATGAGGGCCTAGTGAACCGCTTTCTTAGCTGGCTCAACAAAGGTAACTCGAGTGTCATTGATAACGTGTCAAAGATTATTTTCCCTACCACTTTTGGTGTGTTCAATATTATTTATTGGATGTACTACACTCGTGCACAAAAATGAGCATCTAAATATGCAAGCGCTGATATGACTATACAGTAGTAGACACCTATTGGACAACCAAAGAGTGTTCAAATGAATTATATTCCCAACTTTCGTAATAATGTTTCGTATGTCGTTATGCATAATCCCATGTTCGCTTTCAAAGCATAGTAGGCAAGCAGATCGTTACATGTTATCATTAAATCCACTTTATATAACATACAAGCATTTTTAGTGTATAAATGCAGTTCATTTTCACATGCACCATCTTTTTCGCAAAGTATCGTTGTTTCGATAAATAAGTGTGCTATGCCAAGTACAAGACATTTAATTATATTCGGAACCTTGTTTCGCGCCGTTTTGATTTCTGATGTGTTGTCGCATGGATCAGCAGAGCATAATAAACACCAGCAGTGAATGACTATACATCCAAGTGTTCCAGCCAAATCCAAAAGAGGGATGCAGCCCATAGTAATCATATTCCCTTTAGAGTACTGAATACATATATGAGGCTAAAAACAAAGTTTTATACCATTAAAGAAGTTTCGTTTGGCAGTCATATATGTAGTGTAGCTATATCATATATGGTTGAGCTAAACATTCAACATAACATGATAATTCCTTGCTTTATTTTGCAATATTACAGCCCAACTTGTTTTGTTTTCATCACTGTTCGTTCCAAAAACAACTGCATGAACCATGTAATTGAATTCATATTAATTACATCTAACGGTTAAATATAGACGTAAACATGACGATTTCAACAGAGAAGTAGAAGTCATTCAGAAAGAAGACCGGCTGTTTCTTCATTTGCTAGAGGACGGCACAGAACGTTAGGTGATCTTCAGTATCACGGAGACTTTCCTTGGCGCCTCTGAAATAAAACAACTTGTTAACATCAATCAATGATTGAGAACATGAAGTCAGTGTAAACAATAAGTCGAAGCCATTCTGTTACAAATGGTCCAAAATTGGAAAAAGCTTTTGTATCGCCAGAATTCGCCTCACGTATAAAACGTCACTTGATCACGCAGCTGAACGCTGTGCGTTGAAACTCGATACCTTGATGTTGATTTTGGGCACATCAGCCTGGCCCACGCGGTCGATCTTAGGGAGGTTCTGAAGAGGAGCTTGACGAGCCTCCACGCCATCCCGGATAGGCAGTTTTACCGGCACTGGTTTCAACGGCTCACTGAAAACGGTATGGTATTGGTTATTGGTGTAAAATCACGACTGTCATACCCAATTTAGACTTCAGGACCAAAAACCTGCAGTTACGCTTGTTCATCTCTAACAGCAACAGACAAGCATACAATCTTTTTACGCACACCTCAAGCTATCTGCATTTTTCTTGCCACTGGCATAGAGGAAGCAGCGACATTTGTATGGCGACCGAGCTATATGACCCACCCGGCACGCCTTTCTGACCTGAGAGGAGCCTCGTCAGCGTCCTCCGGGCTCGGCGACAGGATGGTGGCGTTCCACAGAATGTCGTTCAACACATCGATGATGACCGGCATCAGGTCAGTGCGCGTCTCGTTGACGATCACGTCCACCAGAATCGGCCCCAGGTCGTCGGCGAAGCCGTCAATCACAGTGGCCATGTCTTCGCTGTTGAACAGGTTGTGCATCTGGACCTGGTAAAGGAGATAGAACTTTATTAGATTTGATCAAAAGTCCGGAGTAATGAATATAAAGATATAATAGAAAAGCTTGAGTATGTACTGTGAATGTTTAATTTGTTGTTATCAAAGGTTGATGAGTTGATGGATAGAATGGAAATCTAAGAATGTTTCCGCTTACGTCCAGAGTGTCGAAGTGGTAGTAGAAATCCAGATCGGTTATCTGGTAGTGGTCATGTCCACCAGAAAAGTTTTGCTTCAGATCGGCATTGGCAGTCAGGACCATGCCTTCCATGGCAAAGCTGCAAACAATCATGACGTAAGACCTCGATTCAAGTTGGTAGATTGATCACAATTCTAGTAATGACCTGTTGATATAATAGAAGTATTTTATTTACCAGTAAAACGCCTTTTGGGCGAAGAACGAGCGAGCGAGATAGTGAGCCCTGCACGTGCGCAAGGGCAAGAGGGTACTTCCAACGGGCTTGTGCAAAGCACCCTTCTAACCGGTCGCTAGCGGTGTGCCAAATTTGAACGCAATCGGCTCAGCCGTTCCTGAGATCTGGAAGCGGCATTCTGCACGTGCGCACGTGCAAGCGGGGTCCAAACTGACTTTTGCCCGGCACCCTACTAACTGGTCCCCAGCCGTGTACCAAATTTGAGCGCAATCGGCCCAGCCGTTCTCGAGATCTGGGAGCGCCCCCTGCACGTGCGCACGTGCTGTAGCACCCCAACCTTAACACATGCAGATGAATTATCTGATGGAGACCTAACTGTGTACCGAGTTTCAACTCAATCGGCCCAACCGTTGTGCCGTTATTGAGGTTGCAATTTTGGGGGTTCTTAAAAAATGTCTAACTTTACCACGCGCCACGTGCGGTGGTTGGCAAGAACGCATGGTGGCCATTACACCACAGAACTTTTACGTCCAAGTGACATTCAGTAAAGAAGACCGCTTGTCAATCGGATGTCCCGTTCCTAAGATATTAGCTTTTGAAGAGCGTCCCCACGGCCGGCCGGCCGCTCATACTCAGGATTTTCCCTTAATTACGAGCGAGCGAGCGCAGCGAGCGAAGCGAGTCTTTTCAATATAACGGAAAAATCTCAGTATGAGCGGCCCGGCCCGGCCCGGCCCGGCCCGGCCCGGCCCGGCCTGTAACGCTTTTGAGAGGCTTATATCTCAGCAACCGCTGGACCGATTGGCCTGCGGTCTTTTTTGTTGGGTAGCCCCATCCCTTCTACCCCGTAATTGACTACTTTTGATACATCTCAGTGACCGTCGTGGCACGTGCCACGTGAAAAGTCAAGGGTGTTCAAGCTGTTTTGCAAAAGTAGTGATTTTGAGAGGCTCATATCTCAGCAGCCGCTTGGGCGATTGACTTGCGGTAATTTTTGTAGGGTAGCAGCATCCCTTCTACCCAAAATAGGATACTCTCGATGTATGTGGGTCACCCCCAGTGCACGTGCAAAATACAACAATAAGAGGTGCCAAATTTGTTCCCATTTCAGTAACTCGGTAATTACTGGGGCGATTTCGCTGAAACTTGGCATACAGGTAGGCACCCACCAGGCAATGCATTCCCATGTGTTGCGGTTAGGGTGCTACTGCACGTGCGCACGTGCAGGGGGCGTTTCCAGATCTCGAGAACGGCTGGGCCGATTGCGCTCAAATTTGGTACACGGTTGGGGACCAGTTAGTAGGGTGCCGTGCAAAAGTCATTTTGGACCCCGTTTGCACGTGCGCACGTGCAGAATGCCGCTTCCAGATCTCAGGAACGGCTGGGCCGATTGCGTTCAAATTTGGCACACCGCTAGCGACGGGTTAGAAGGGTGCTTTGCACAAGCCCGTTGGAAGCACCGTCTCGCCTTTCCGCACGTGCAGGGCTCACCATCTCGCTCGCTCGTTCTTCGCCCAAAAGGCGTTTTACTGGTTCAGTATGAAGTCGCTCGCTCGCTGCGCTCGCTCGCTCGTAACCACGAATATAACACCAGTAAAACGCCTTTTGGGCGAAGAACGAGCGAGCGAGATAGTGAGCCCTGCACTTGCGGAAAGGCGAGAGGGTTCTTCCAACGGACTTGTGCAAAGCACCCTTCTAACCGGTCGCTAGCGGTGTGCCAAATTTGAACGCAATCGGCCCAGCCGTTCCGGAGATCTGGAAGCGGCATTCTGCACGTGCGCACGTGCAAACGGGGTCCAAACTGACTTTTGCACGGCACCCTACTAACTGGTCCCCAACCGTGTACCAAATTTGAGCGCAATCGGCCCAGCCGTTCTCGAGATCTGGGTGCGCCCTCTGCACGTGCACACGTGCAGTATCACCCTAACCGCAACACATGGGAATGCATTGCCTGGTGGGTGCCTACCTGTATGCCAAGTTTCAGCGGAATCGCCCCAGTAACTACCGAGTTATTGAAATGGGAACAAATTTGGCACCTCTTATTGTTGTATTTTGCACGTGCACTGGGGGTCACTCACATAGATCAAGAGTATCCGACCTTTGGTAGAAGGGATGCAGCTATACCCTACAAAAATTACCGCAAGACAATCGCCCAAGCGGCTGCTGAGATATGGGCCTCTCAAAATTACTACTTTTGCAAAACAGCTTGAACACCCTTGACCTTTCACGTGGCACGTGCCACGACGATCACTGAGATGTATCAAAAGTAGTCAATTACGGGGTAGAAGGGATGGGGCTACTCAGTAAAAAAGACCGCAGGCCAATCGGTCCAGCGGTTGCTGAGATATAAGCCTCTCAAAAGCGTTACAGGCCGGGCCGGGCCGGGCCGCTCATACTGAGATTTTTCCGTTATATTGAAAAGACTCGCTTCGCTCGCTGCGCTCGCTCGCTCGTAATCATCCACAGCCATTTTACTATTTTATTGTAATAGCCAAGGGGGAGGGGTGGTGGTGGGGGGGGGGCTGACGGGGTACAGTCGTAAAATGTATAGGATTAAATTAAAGGATTAGGTAGTATAGGATACATTAAAGGTAGTGTGCCACCTTTGAAAGATTTCCCATTTTATTTTTCCTAGGATAAGAAGCTTCTGTTTTTACCTAATATCGCCAAAAAATCAAAAATGGGCCTGGAATAGTGCCTTTTTCGCCTAAAAGTTTATCGGTTTTTCGATATGTATAACAACTGTAGTGGACTGACCTGCAAACAGGCGTCGGCAACAAATCGCGAATGCGGCGCACATGTGACAATAAGCAAAGGACTATAGAGTTACGACGTACGGGAATGAGTTATCAGTGCACAATATCGAGCCTTAAACTGTATGCCTGTATTGGTATTGTTTCTTTTATTTGGCTGTCGAACATTATTTATGGTTTGAAATATGATTTTATGTAAAATAATTGATATGAAAAAGCCGTCTCTTAAGTTATGACCCCATTACAGCACACGCAAGTGGCAGAAATGCCAATGATCAGCTGACGCATTTTTCTTGGCCGAAGGCAGAGCGCGCGGCCCGACGCACCACCACCGAACCACAAAGCATGAGCAGAAGCCGCGCCCAAAGCCAGGGCCCCGGTAACGTGAGGTAGCCGAGTCGGGGCAGCGTGCGCTGACCCAAGCCGGGGCCGCAGCTTTGGGCGCGGTCTACCGCATCCCCGCGGGCAGCCCCGGGCTATCACATGACACCGGGAGGACGCGCGGCCCCGGCTTGGGTCAGCGCACGCTGCCCCGACTCGGCTACCTCACGTTACCGGGGCCCTGGCTTTGGGCGCGGTCTACCGCACCACCTAACAGGCGTGTTCGAAACCGCAGGAGATGATGATGAACGGGTTTATCGAAACTTGATTGGATGAGCGTATCGGTAAAAGCGATTTCAGTGTGTGCATTTATTGTTCATAGTGGTGTGAAATGTGGTTGGGGTACGACCGACAACCCGTCGGGGCGAATTTCGCACTGGGGTACTCAAAATTTGAAGAATTTAAGACGTTTCCATGAGTTTTGAAGGTATGGCTAACTTCTAAAAATCCGGTTCTCCTTATCTGGGCCATTAACTCCATACGGTCCAGGAAAGCTGGCACACTACCTTTAAGGTTCGAAGAACACGAAGAACACTTTTTATCTTTTTTTAGCTTTGTATTCTGATGAAGAGCTGTGCTCGAAATTATTAATAAACAAGTGTTTTGATCTAACCTTTTCAAACTAGGAGGGTAAGGTCATTAATCAAAATGCTTTAATATGATCCTCGCACAAGCACTGAGAAACTTAAAGAACTTCCCTAATTTTAGCCAAATTCCTCTAATCCTACTGGATATAGTTATATTAATTAGGCAAAACCGAAACTCTATTGTTTAACTTAGTTAAGTTTGTTCATTGAATCATCCCCAAGCACACGTCCAATGATGTATGAAGTCATAGTACAAAAAAAGCCCGAAAGGAATGGAGTAATCCGACTACAATTATACCACGGAATGCAAACACGGCGCCGCGCCCGGCCCGGAGTGACCCGTACAACTGACCTGGCGGGGCCGGCGCCGTACAGAGGAAAGAGGTCACCGATGACGCTGCCGCTGCCGAAGGCATAGTTACACTCCAGGCTGAGGGTGGGCAGACTCAGAGCCAGGTCCAGCTTCAGGGTAAGCATGTTCACGTGGATGTTGTCGATGACGAACGTTGACAGATCGTGCAGGAGAGCTTCGGTGATGTTCAGGTGGATGCTGCGAGCGAAAGAGGCGGCGACGTGAGGCGATGCTAAAGAGCACGAAACTCTTGTCCGATAGATCCTGCAGTTGTTTTAGGGCTTGTGCCACGATCACGTATAAGATTAAAACGTCTACACGATTTAAGATTAGCATGCAATGTAAAAATATTGATTTACACCTATGCTAGCGGCATATTTTCGTCGGTGTAGGTAAATGATCGAAATGTGCTCATTTGTTGTAGCCACATACGCATGCCGGGATGAGATCGGCAAATAGCGGCCATTTTACCTTTGTAAGTTGAAACACCTTTGGTGTTCTTCACTTTCTTTAAATCAAACACAACTCTATAATTTTCATTTTGTGGGAATTGATTCTGATGCCAATGGAAAACCACCATATATGTAAACTTACGTAAGGAGTCCCGGCTCATCCAGGTTGAATGGGATGTCGGGAATGGGCTGCGGCTCGCTCAGGGAGTCTCTGAACGCCTCCAGAAGAGCGACGATGAGCTCATCGATGGGTCCGCCGACGGCCGGCGGCGCTGTGCAGCCGCGCAGTGGACACTCAGGTCAGTGAGAAATAGGGCTTCAACTGGATTATTGTTGCATTATCTATATTTATTGGTTAACATTGCATTAAAGTTATTGGTTAATCACTGTTCTGCGAATATTTATTATTACGAGCGAGCGAGCGCAGCGAGCGAAGCGAAGTCTTTTCAATATAACGGAAAAATCTCAGTATGAGCGGCCCGGCCCGGCCCGGCCTGGCCCGGCCCGGCCCGGCCCGGCCCGGCCCGGCCTGTAACGCTTTTGAGAGGCTTATATCTCAGCAACCGCTGGACCGAATGGCCTGCGGTCTTTTTTGCTGGGTAGCCCCATCCCTTCTACCCCGTAATTGACTACTTTTGATACATCTCAGTGACCGTCGTGGCACGTGCCACGTGAAAAGTCAAAGGTGTTCAAGCATTTTTGCAAAAGTAATGATTTTGAGAGGCCCATATCTCAGCAGCGGCTTGAGCGATTGTCTTTCGGTAATTTTTATAGGGTAGCTGCATCCCTTCTACCAAAGGTCGGATACTCTTGATCGATGTGAGTGACCCCCACTGCACGTGCAAAATACAACAATAAGAGGTGTCAAATTTGTTCCCATTTCAGTAACTCGGTAATTACTTGGGCGATTTCGCTGAAACTTGGCATACAGGTAGGCACCCACCAGGCAATGCATTCCAGTGTGTTGCGGTTGGGGTGCTACTGCACGTGCGCACGTGCAGGGGGCGTTTCCAGATCTCGAGAACGGCTGGGCCGATTGCGCTCAAATTTGGTACACGGTTGGGGACCGGTTAGTAGGGTGCCGTGCAAAAGTCAGTTTGGACCCCGTTTGCACGTGCGCACGTGCAGAATGCCGATTCCAGATCTCAGGAACGGCTGGACCGATTGCGTTCAAATTTGGCACACCGCTAGCGACCGGTTAGAAGGGTGCTTTGCACGAGCCCGTTGGAAGTACCCTCTCGCCCTTCTGCACGTGCAGGGCTCACTATCTCGCTCGCTCGTTCTTCGCCCAAAAGGCGTTTTACTGGTTGAGAATTTTCAACAGAATGTAATGAATGAGAGTTAGCATGCGTGAAAAGACAAAGATGTGCTGAATATGGGCTGTCTTGACGGGAAAACTGAAAAGGCCATACTTGGAAAAGGCTAAATAGAAAATAAACCAATTTGAAAAAAATAGAAAAAAGAAATAGAAAATATAAAAATAGAAAAGAAAGCAGTACATCTATAAATGGTTCGGACCATATCATATGGAATAGTTCATGCCGAAGCCAGTGCCAGCAAGACAGTAAACGTTACCGTGCTGTTACTCACAGCTCTTGGGCGCCCCGACACATTGTGTCACCAGAAGACACACCGCCAGTGGCTTCAGCAGCATCTGGGCGGAACGAGCACAGTACGTGAGGCATTGCGATGTGAAACCGTTCGAAACAGCGTGACTGTCACCGACAGAACTTAATCGGAATCGGTGGCTGGAAGTCTGCACCAAAAACGAAATAAGCTTAATAAAATGCTTGTGACGTTTTTCCAAAAGCAAAAACATGCATCTGAATGTACACCGCAAACCATGAGATGAGCCCTTTTCTCAAAAGAAAGCAGCAATTTTGACCACATATTGCTGAGTTACTAAGCACGATCAGACGCTGATATGACATCACTTTGCAACGAGAAAAGTTCACTGGTCTCCAACCTTATTCCCGCAGTTCACATTCAGATACCCTCCCCAGCCGAACTCTACCTTGGCGAGCTGTGATTGCCCTGTCGCAGCTCTGGCAGGCCTGCGTCCCCACCAGCGATGCCCCGGCGACTGGCCCTCGGGCCCGTGGGCTGACTGGCGCCCGGATATCTGTGAGACAGCTCACACATGGTAGGTTCACAGGAGCCCCGCCCTGTTATAACGCCCTCATTTCACAGGAGCACCCACGTCGTTTTTAAGGTGTGGCTGTGATATTTTATGTTTCTAAATGGATGCGGAAGAGAGAAAAAGAACAAGTGGTGTGTATCTTCATGCTGTGTGGCTACTGGCTACTGAACCTAAGCGGTCAAAACGTGAATTACTCACGCGTACATAAATGTAAAAATTCGTATCTGAAGTCTATATTTCCTATATCAGTTTTAAGGCTCAATAAAAGTTTTTTTGCTCTTGTGAAAGGAGGAAGCAAGGAGGAAGAAAAACTATTGAGATTACACTTTCTGTTTTTTGTCTCCTGGGCAAGTTTGAAAGTTGCAAAAAATCTATTAACGAATGATGTGCCGCGAGTTTTTCATTTTATGTCATTCACAACTTTTTAACAATTTGCAAACCAGAAAAGCCCAGGCCAGTAAACATCGTATCCATAGCATCTTTCGACTATCCCCGAATGTAGTTTTTCGGCGGGGGACAGCCAGCGTCTGTTGTTTCTCACGCTATCGGGGCGTGTATATCTCGCCTCTCCCGCTGGCCTGTGCGGGAAGCACTGGGCTCAGGGACAGGGACGTGGGTAGCGGCGCCCAGCGGAGCAGGTGACGCTCTCAATGACCTTGGAGCCCGAGTTTGCAGAGGCTAAACGGCCCAGGACACGTTTTGATAAGAGTTGTTTGGATATTCCTATTTCATATATTTACGCATCAGATCTGCATAGTTCTATGCTACAGACGCAGTTAGCCGTGGATGCAAAAGTCATTCGAAAAACGCCATATGTAAAGGGAATTAGTAGGTAAGAGACGATTTTACACATATAACACATCAGATCAAATGTAGTGTCTCGGCATTGGTAAGACTTTGCATAGATAACGTTTGTGAAAGCTAGCCTGCCATGTACAAAGCACATCCTATATATAGCAAAAGGACATTTCAACATATCTCAATCTTAGTTATTTTTTATTACGCAGTTGAATCCAAGCATATCATGTAAATTTTCCTCTGGTGTTGAAGATAAGAGACGCCTGAGAACGACACACATGGCTGGCCCCTAGAGACGGTACATGGCTCAACGTCACTTCACAAAGCTGCTGCTGATGCTTTAGTGGCGCAGAAACTACCATCGGAGGCACACATTGTAACTTGCTGCTCAAAGGTACGCTTGTTTTTGCGTGTTCAAACTACATCCCCACGTTTTATTTTGCTTCTTGATCTTTATTATATAACGCAGCCTAGATTTGGTCGACTTAGGAATGCCATTTTGTACTTAGCATCAAAACATAGCCGTTGCTATTCGTAGGTCTAGTTGTTATTGGCGCCTTTCTCAACATAATTTCAAGAGATTTATTCATATTCTGTGAGCTTCAGTATAGCTGAGAGCTATTTTACTTATTTTTGCACTATTTTTATTCTATTCAACGGTGGGAAAGTTATTTAAATGCACATACTATGCTTACATATATCATTTGGTAAGCTAATGCTCCAATTTTGCAGATGCTGCTCCGGACTTTTTTGACGTGCCTTTTGGTGTCCCAGTCTGTTAGTGGGCTGCCGAAATTGGCCTCCGTTCAGGCTGGTAAGTGGTAAAGTTCAAACGCATCCCATGAAGCGGATCCCATAGCGGATGGCTATTATCAGGCAGGTACGCATAAAAATGACATTTTCTCTTGCTATCGAGTTACGTAGATTGATAAATGACTGACCTTCATGTCACGGTGCACTAGTGCTGTATCATAATTTTTTTTGATAAAGTAGTGTTGCCTTTATTGTAAATGTAATTAATCGACATTTCTTAGCAAATAAAAGTACGTACGACGAGGTAACGTTTTTCCACATTGCAACTGCGCTTTAAGTGACTGATCATATAGGACGTTAATAAAGAGCCTCATCTAAGTTATGCGATATCACCCCGACAATTAAAAGCATGGTATTGCTATCTAAAGCACGCGGTAAATTGCCATCCCTGTTGCGATGGGTTTCCTGCAGCGGCGGCGCGGTCGTCCAGTGACGCTGCCGTCTCGGGACCGATTGACGACCTGCTGATTGCCCTGCTGGAGCAGCTGAGGAGCCTCCTTCCCGAGCCGCTGCCGCTGGGAGACCTGGCCATCGACGTCGACTCACCGTCCACGATGTGAGACTGCGGCCTATAGGATCTCTATTGGACACTATGAATTGTCCCTTAATGTTTGCATGGTTTACTTGATGGACCACGTTATGTACAATTGAACCCTTGCATGGCATTGTTCAATGGAAAAGATGAATCGCTCAATGTTATAGCATGCAAAATTCATAATCGCTCCATCCATGTGAGTTCCGTCAACATGGTTACACACGGCTAATGGCTGTTAAGATGTTAAAATGATAATTGCGCCATTTGATGATGTTCTTTATGATCGCTGTCCTCGAAGCACCGCCTCTAAAAGTAACCAACTTCACTTCGCAGCATCCACGCCAACATCACTGATGCCGTTCTGCACAACCTCTCGACGTTCATCATCGACAACGTGCACGTGAACATGTTCACCCTGAAGGCTGCCGTCGCCCTGAGCCTGCCGACGCTGAGCCTGGACTGCAACTACTACATCGACAGCAGGAGCGTGCTCGCCGAGCTGTTCCCGCTCTACGGAGGAGGCCCTTGCAGGTCTGCCACCTATCGTAGGGGAAGTTGGGGCAATGCCGGAGTTGGGGCAAAGCCGAAATTCGAGATATTTCGAAAACCGTAAGACATGGATGCCACCTGTCAGTGATGCTCTGAAGCTTAAGTGACTACAATTATCGCATGTTTGTTACGAGTCGTCATTCGGAATACTTCGACTGTGAGGGCGCCAAGAGCGTTTTCAAGGTACGTTTCCTTTGTACTACATGCGCCTTTGAAGCTGCATTTTTTTACTCATTATGCTACCGTTTGTCTGGCCAATTCGGTCAAGTAATCTTTAGCATGTCTTTGCATAAGTGTGCTGCCTATTTGAAATTTATACAGCACGTTGAAAAGTTATGGGCCTGCAAATGAAAGTATGGCTGGCTGGGGTAATGCCGAAAACGTGCGATTACGCACGTGTTAAAAGCACGCTACGTGGACTTTACTGCTGTAGAATAGCAACGCGTATTTTTAGTCACACAAATAACACTTTCAACCGACACAACGGCCTGTTACCTATAAGGAATGATTTACCTGGCATTTTCTTATTATATCACACAATTATAACTTCCAGTGTGCACCGTGTCCTCAAGCTCTTGAAACGTGTGTCAGCTTTGATGAATTTTGGATAAAGTTTGAGATAAAATGGCAAAACATCAATGTCGGCATTCCCCGTAGATCATTTCTCCCATTTTCGGCTTTCCCCGCAGTCCGGGGCAACGCCGAAAAAGTCACTTCTTTGATATTTTTAGTTTGTGCGCTTAACGGTATGCGAATTCATCAAATGCGCCTGGTATGTTTGAAAGGCAAAAGACTGGCCTCTCGAATGACGCCAACAAGAATAGCGTATGTTGTCTACCTTGCGTGCTACGGGCGTCAGAAAAAAAAGTCTTCGGCGTTCCCCCAACTTCCCCTAATAACAAACTATGTCAGCCCTACACAATAACTTACGCAATAGCTCTTGATGCAAGTGATATCGACTCAATGCTAATGCATCACCATAGTTCTTTTGGAGAAATTATCCATGAAAAGAAACATCATGCGATGAATTTAGGCGGTTTTCGCGAGGCGGTTTTCGCGTTTAGGCGGTTTTCGCGTTGTTTTGACTAAGGTCTTTATCATTCATCATTGTATCTGATCCTTCGAAGTGACTAATGACCTCGCACTTCTGGTAGCGTGGCTCTGGGAAATTTGGCGGCCGCCGTCGACGCTGACCTGAAACACAACCGATCCGATGGTAGCGACCACTACCAGATCGAGGCGCTCGACTTCAATCTGCACTTTGACACTCTGGACGTGAGCCATGATAAAACGCCGCATGCAATGATAGTTTTAATGTCGATTGGCCTCTCGTTTCATTTTAGTTTGTCATTAAAATAGAACAATCATTTTCATAAGAAAAGGCAATCATTTTGACCATACTGCGGTATATGCCCCTCGTTGGGCAAGGGGTTTAAATGAACATCGGGAATTCATTTAAACCCTGTTATACGTCAAATCTTTGTGACCACCGTTTAATTCTTATATTGCTAAGCCGCCGCACCCGATTACAGATCCAGATCCACAACCTGTTCGACAACGACGAGCTGGCCACTGTGATTGACGAGTTTGCCGACGACTTTGGCCCGCTGCTGGTGGATATTTTGGTCAACGACACCCGTCGCGACCTGCTGCCGACCATCATTGACGAGCTGAACGACCTGCTCTGGAACGCGTCGCTGCCCCTTGCCGAGACTCCGGCCGTCAAACACTTCCAACGCTGGACCAGGTGGTAATATTTTTCCTTACGATTTCAATAAATTAATATATTAGGGGAAAGTGGGGTAAGACGGTCAGGGTAGGTAAGACGGGCACCCCTTCTGCAGACAAAACCAATAGCGCTACGAGCGAGAAAAATTAGGACCAGAATTGCCTTTCCCACTACAGGGTGGACCAAAAAGGATGGAAACATTTTAAACTCGTGTAAAACATGCATCATTGCATGCATGTGACTGGGAATGATACCAAACAAGAGTACATTTCGTGGAAATTCATAATGGCATCACTCTCATATGCTTTCTCTCGTTTTCAGTCTCTCACAGCAGATGTTCGAAATGACCACTTTCGCGAGACAGGCACAGAGCGACCAGCCTGGCTGCTGACACGATAGCCCGCTTGTATGGCTCACACAGCCTTGCTGATCGCTCTCTTCAGTTCAGAGGCTTTCTGAACCTTCCTTGTAGACCTGGCCCTTGAGATGACCCCACAGTAAAACATCCATAGGGGTCAGGTCGGATGAGCAGGTAGGCCAGTTCCGACTGGCACCGCGGGATATCAGCCGGTCACCGAAGTGGTTTTCGATGCACTTGAGCGTTGTTTTTGCGATGTGAGGAGGCGCACCGTCTTGCTGGAACCACATAAGGTCTATGATGAGGCTGCCATGATTCGTTTGGACTTGCTCTCAGAACTTCCTTAGCGCCGCCTGGTATGCGCTGTTGATTGACGGTCACAGTGTCGCCGCTCCCTTCTTCGAACCAAAGTGGACCCACGATTCCTTTTCCGCTGAGGGCACACCATTTCGGTGACCTTGCTGCTGTGCAGTGACTTCTTTATCATATCATCTCAAGGGCCAGGTATATACAAGGAAGGTCTATGTGACCTGAAGAGAGCGATCACCAAGACTGTGTGAGCCATACCAGCGAACATGTGTCGTCGGGCTATCGCGTCAGCCACCAGACCGGCCGCTCTGTGCCTGTCTCGCGAAAGTGGTCTCTTCGAACATTTGCTGTGAGAGACTGAAAACGAGAGAAAGCAGATGAGAGTGATGCCGTTATGAATTTCCACGAAATGTACTCTCGTTTGGTATCATTTCCAGTCACATGCATGCAATAATGCATGTTTTATGAGAGTTCAAAATGTTTCCATCCTTTTTGGTCCACCCTACACACCACCATTGAAGTCTGGTGAATTTGTGTTCAGTCGATAATCTTTTATTTTGATTTCTTTAAAACACTCATTTCATTGAAAACATCCAAAATGTATTGTGCAAGCTTTTGTGTGCAGCACTATAGAGTTAAAAACTCGCAATCACTTGTGGTACACTCATATGCCACAGTGCTCATTTACCGCGGATTTGCTTTGTCTGTATCAAATTGTCCACAGAGAAAAATCGTGCTGAGCTTCTGACATTGAGTTTGGGGCACTGAACTCTATAATGTGGAATGCGCATCGGCCGCCAAATGGTGTCCAACGGTGCCGCCATGTTGCGCAGACCAGAAAGCGGCCGCCGCCTGTGCTGGGGAATAGGGAATTCGGGACCTCGATTTACGTTTGCGGTCGCTGCATCCGTTACGCTCAAGCTATGTGGACACGGAACCCGGCATCTTACGCAGAATTGAGTGGAGAACAAGATGAAATCCTAAAAAATCCTCAGCTACAAGGAACTAATACGTTAAATCCTTATAAGTCAATGGGGAAATATGAAAATTGCTATTTTGGCGCCGAGAATGATCTGAAACTATCTCAAGCATATCGAATCATGATTTCATGCACTTTTTGCAAGGTTCTATGCTTCATATTTGCATTGTTGCCCTTGCGTGACGTCATCTGTGACGTCACAAGGGTCACAATTTTTCTTCAATAACTCCCGATCAAATTGAGCTAGCGAGTCGGGAAAGCCACCAATGGACTCAGGAAGACCTGCCGAATCGAATGATATGCGACATGACCTCTTTCGACCAACTTCGTGACCTGGGGGTGCTGACCTGACCTTGACCTGAGGTCAACACCCTAAGTTGACCTGACCCGAACAAAAAGTATATCACTCGATGCGCCTGAGCTAGCTGAACACGATGATGCCAAAATCGCGGCTCTACGGCCATTTTTGGCGAAGCTATTTACCAAAAACCGAACCCGTGCCTTAGATCACTTGACCTGACCTCAGAGGTCACCGGTTGACCTGAGACCCTTACAGCGGGTTCCTACCATTCACTCTGCATTATACTTTGCCGCATACGACCACTTTACCGCTTAATTCTAGTTTAATTAGCGGTGCATTAGCGAGGTGGGTTCAATCAACCCCCTCGGCCGGGGCAAAGGTAGGTCAGGCGAGTGAATTTGAGGAATTCTGAAGATACGATCGTGTTCCCCACTCAATTCTACGTAAGATGCCGGGTTCCGTATCTACGTAACTTGAACGTAACGGATACGGCGGCCGCAAACGTAAATCGAGGTCCCGAATTCCCTATTCCTCAACACAGGCGGTAGCCGGTTTCTGGTCTGCGCAATATGGCCGCCACCGTTAGACACTACGGCCAATAGGGTTGAAGCGGCATTGCTCCCCTGTGGTTTGGGGTAAGACGGGCAACTATGAATCCAATGGGTCTGTAATGGTGAAAATATTTTTGTTGCTGTAGGAAAAAAGAAGCACTTCTAATGAGAATATGTTCGATTCCGATACTCACAGACATGTTAGCAATATTCCTTCAGCACAGTTTATTCTCGAATAATGAATGTGAAAAACGGTTCTACATGGCTTATGAACTAGGGCCTATATACGAGCATGCGCCTTCTGCACGAATCTGGTATACTACCATTTCCGAAGCACTTGAGACCAACGAGCGACTGTATCAATGCGGCTAATCTCGGGCATTTGTTGCGAGCTGTGCTGGTCGGTGAAAGAAGCTGGCCGTCTTGCCTTACCCATGTGACCGTCTTACCCCATGGGGTGGGGTAAGACGGGTTTTTGCAAGGTTTTGCAAAAATAGCTGCAGTTTATTTGTTGAATCAGGTCTAAGCCTCATCTTCTGGCAAATGGAAGTAAAATGTCTACAAAAGGTTTTCACTCAGTTTTCCGTTTCTATGATGTTTCTAACCGGCCGAAAAATGGCTCCAAAGTTATGGTGCCCGTCTTACCCCACTTTCCCCTACACTGAAAACAATTTAACCCAAGGCCCGCGAGTAAACCGGTGTTTTGCGGGTACCCCTATCCGCAACCATTTTTAACCACCCTCCCAGGAGTACAGTAAGGTCCCATTGCAGTGTAGTCGTCCCTGCTCTCAGCGGACTTGTTCGCTGACAGCGGTTATATCCGCTCAGAGCAAGTACGACTACACCGCAATGGGACCTAGCACTACTCCTGGGAGGGTGGTTAAAAATGGTTGCGGATAGGGGTACCCGTAAAACACCGGTTTACTCGCCAGCCTTGGGTTAATTTTTTTTCAGTGTAATGCATTTGATGAAATGATAGAAATGATAAGTTGTTAGATGTAAATGATGACAATGCAATAATTATCGCGTGTTTTGCTCGGTCCGTGTTATGGTGTTGCTGATATTCGAGTTGTGATGGCGTTTATTTTTTTCCGATAGGACGGCCCCGTCGACAAAGTTGGTCAAGCTGACCAGCTCCGCCAACGCCAACTCCTTCTTCGACAACATCATCCCGAACCTGCAGACGTTCATCGTCGCCAACAGCCTGGACCCGATGCCGCTGCCGGAGATGGATGCTGAAGTACGACCGTCAGCATACTTTTCTTGTAGTTCAGTTCGCTAGTCAAGCCCGTTTGATTACATAAGTTATGCCGTAAAGTTAGATCAACTCAGCGTCTAATTAATCTCGCCAACTACTAACTAGTAACAAGGTTATTTCTTTGTAATTATTTTAGAAAACTTATTTTCTTTAAAACTAGTTTATAAAACACTTTCTTAGAGGCTGAAACAGCACTTGCACTAAAATCACAAACCCAAAATCATCCATTCATCGCATCTATTGACAAATAAGCAACATATGTATGACTCTACATGTCCACTTTGCTACCAAAGAAGAACTTTCCACGCATGCCAATCTCATTATTGGTTCCACCTCACCAGGTCCTGGGAAATACCGGCGTGAAGCTGTATAACGGCTTTGTGAACGGCCTGTCGTCTGTTCACCGCACGGCCGACGCCCACCTGGTCTACGACGAGGTCGAGTGGCTGTCAGTGGACGGCGGACTCGGATTCGACGAGCTGGTGGCCGGCTACAGCCTCAAGATCGAGGTGTTCGGCATCGGACCGCACGTCTCGGCCGAGATCCATCTAACCGGGACGAAGGCCGAGTTCCAGGCGCAGATCTCCTCCCAGGACCTGGCTATCGAGCTGGGAAAGCTGCGAGTCTCCGACATCGGGTAAGAAGCGTTGAAATACAGTAGCATAAGATAATCCAAGAAACATCACTAGAGAGTTGTGAATGGTTAACACGTCATGCTTTCACGTTTAACGCTCCGTTTATTTATTGTTTCCATGGGTGTAGTAGACAAACAAACCGATAACTTTGTGGCAATTTGTTGAACGCTTCCCCTCATATCATTTCCACACTGTTTCAGGAGTATCAGGGTGATCATCCACGGTCTGAGCCTGTTCGGGTGGCTGATTGACCCCATCATCGACCTCATCATCAACCTGTTCCGGGGCCCGATCGCCGACGCCATATCGGACGCCATGTTCAGTGCCGTCAACGACATGCTCTCAGAAATCGACCTCCTGGCCATGCTGGAAAACCTTTAAATGATGACGGGATGGTGGAAACGTGGTGAATCATGTAATGATTCCGACAATAAGTGCCGTACATTTATGATCATATGTATGATTTGTCTAGTTATCCAGTATTCATGCTTGCCAAGATACGTTGTCCTGGAAATGAAATACATTGATATTTGGTGTAATAAATGACATTTAGATACGTCCATTGGGGACCAAGAAAACCAAAACCATCCCGAGGAAGGACTATGAACTGAAAAGATGGCGCTAACATGGACTAAGCGACCACCCAGTTTGTGCTCTGCCGCGCGGGTCAGCCCGTCCTGAACGTCGAGCTACAGAGCCGCGGCACTGTCGCCCAGATGTGAGCTTGTTCTATCATTTACCGGGGACCGTATAAGCCGGAACAAAGAATGGTGATACAAATGGGAAAAGGGCACGTCCTCCAGTTAAAGAAGATAGATTTAGTGATTGAAAAAATATGTCTGTTAGCGTTAGCGCCACTCTCGGAATAAATCGGATATAAATTATGCCAGTTACCAAGAGCTTCAAGATCTGAATTAGATGAGTAGATCACAGAGGACAAAGTCCTGCCTAAATCTAATAACGCTATACCTAACTAAATGACAGCAATTATGGCAGCATTTTATGTTGCATACTTTTGTCGTACCATTCGTAAGCTCATAAGCTCGTAAGCTCGTAAGCTCATTCGTAAGCTCGTAGGTACAGTTGAAAAAACTGCACAGCACGTGTAAGCGATGCTATGGAGAGATGGGGGATGGGAAAGAGGGAGAGGGAGGGTGGGGCGAGGAGACGGATGTCAGGCTTGCGGGAGGTCACCCACGGAACATTCGGCCTTTCCCACGAGCTCACGTGGCTGATTTCTCACGCGCCGAGGAGCGCTAACCTTCACTGTAAACCAAATTGACAAGTCTTGTGTAATATAACCAATCATCTCTTGGTATGGTTACCAACTGATACTTTTTAAACAAGCCGTTGTCTGGTGCATTGCTTGTCAGGTGACAACCACGAGTCAATAGTTACTATGCACACAAACTTCTCAGTATCCAGACCAACTCTACATTTGTTTCAACGTTTGTTTCTTAACCAGTTTTGGAAACTTGTTGCCGCATGGTTATTTAACCGGCGCCTAACTTGTACTGGTCAGCTGGTCAGCATAAACATGGTCAGCTGCGCCTGACGTCAGACTTGGCGGACCAATCAGCGGTCGCCGCCCGCCGTTAGCGGGCCCCGGCGCGGCGGTTTCAAACCAGCAGTTGTCGCGCGTCCGCCGTGCAGCCTGGAGCAGCGACGAGGGCTGTTCCAGCATTTGTGCAGTAAAAAGTGAAATCTGTGAACTGTGGTGTTCGTGCTGTGAGTGAGGCCTCCTCTGGCCTGCGGGACGCACTAATCGTGCCTATACCCGTGGTCGAGACGCCTCCCTTCCCCTGCGCGCGCAATATAGGGGAAGCGGGGGTAGCACCGCCATGTGGGAAACACCGCCATCCTCTCTATCGGCAAAACTCTGAATTGTAAATGTAAACACCCGCCATTTCGGTGTCCGAACGGAAACGGGACGCCGCGTGAGGTAGGTTTCGCTATGATTTATTTGATTTTGAGATCGCAATTGCCCAATTTATGAATTTCAAACCATCGTTGTAATCATTTGGCATGTTTGAGCAGCAAGTAAGTGGTCATTTCAAGTCAAAATGCCTTGATTTTTACGTTAAATTTGAGGGCATGAAGTGCTCTTTGTTGAGAAAGGAATTACAGAAGAATCGCGTCCCGGCTTGTTTTGCTGTCGCGGCGTTGTCGGTCCATGACTGTGAGTGGGGTAACACCGCCATGCTCAAGTTCAAGTTCAAGTTCAAGTTCGGTGTATTGAGGACATTTCCACATAGTGGCTTAATATTTAGTCCGAGTCAGAGTACATAGATAAAAACATGACACAGTCAATATCACAGTAAATCACAATCAAGAGATGGGTATATAAAAACACGGTCCAAAGTCGGACAAACCAGACCCTCAACTATATCGACAGCCGGCGCAGAAACTCGGCGCGGGTTACAGAGCTGGTGACAGCCGGCGACAGGCGGTTCCACGCCGCGGCCGCTCGGTAAGAAAACGCGCGGCGCGACGCGGACAGGCGGTATGGAGGCAGCTCGAGAGCGCCCGCCTCAGTCGACCGGGTGCTGCGCCGGGAAACCGCTGTACGAGGGACGAACAGGGAGCGGATCGCCGCGGGAGCGTGCGGGTCCCTCAGCGCCCTGTAGACGCCGAGGCAGTCACGGCGCTCAACCAGCTCGCGCACGTCACACCAGCCCAGCGCAGCTAGGATCGGCGATATATGGTCATGCCTGCGCACGCCAGAGACAACCCTCGCACCAAAATTCATCGCCTTGCTCGGCGGTGCTACCCCAAGGGGTGGAAAAATGGATAAAGCCGCAATGATGATTCACTCAGCTCGGAGAAGAGCTTTAGTTAGGCCGCAAACGTCGTCTGTTTTTTAACCTCACGTTTGACTTCACTGGATGTTTCGAAATAAACGTGAATTTGTCATGCTTTGTATGCATATTGTCCGCAACAAACAGTCTGATCTGTGACAAACTAACAACCAATTCTTGTGCGTCTTACGAGGGGCGTTCAAAAAGTTCTCGGCCCGACCATGAAGGAGCAGAGATACGACGTCGACTTATTAGACCAAAAATGTTCATTTAGTCAAATAACCAGCGTTAAGACAAAAATATTTCGTGCAGCGCTTCGCGAGAGGCCCCTGGGTCTCCATAGCCAAGTGGGTTTTGGACGCATCTGGCACGTCCAAGACGGCTGCTTTTGTCTCCTTGCTGTCAGCGAGGTTGCCACTGCTAAGCGATTTCCTTATGTTGGGGAAGAGGTGGCAGCCTGAGGGTGCAAGGGACGAAGAAAAAAGTGGCTGTGACAACAACTCGAAGCCACAGCTCACTGCTTCGCTGATCGTCACCCTGCTCATGTGTGCTGGTGCGTGGTCCTGGACCAGGCGCACACTTTTAGTCAGCTTCCCTAGTCTCTCCTTGATATCTGCTGCTCGCTACTGTTATCGAAGGAAGGTGTAGCATTCATCATTAATTGTGCGCCCCTGTTTTAGAAAGTTGACGAGCAGAGCCCCGCCATCATCCAAAAATGCAACCACCGTCACCTTGCCGTCTGACTTTAACACGTCGCACACATTTGGTGGCCTTTACTCAGTGTGCTTCCACTTGTACAATTCGGTCACGCCCTGAGGGTCAATGTGTGACACCCACAATCCCTCCACGGTAACAAGTAGTTCAATGAACTCTTTTGGATCTTCGAAATAGGGGCCACAAATTTTGCGTTACGCCTCCTTTCGAGTTTGCCTTTCCTCTGGAGTCAGCAAACGGGAGATGCATCTTGCAGAAATCTTAAACATATTAATAGGCCGTCGAAGAATGGCTTTGAGGAACCTGATAGACAACTCCGCTTCTGCTGCGTTGTTTCAGACCAGAACATTTGTCATTTTTCACAAAGAAGTGCTTATTTTTCATATTTTCTTGAGTCAATGCTGTTGATGGCTGGCCACTGCGGGGGTGACCATTAATGATCTGTTGACCAAAATTGAACAGAGATGCCCACTTTTTGGCGCTACTGTAAGAAAGACAAACCTCAACATGTGTTGGCACTAGCTTTTCGTGAATAACGTTTGATGCATTTTTCTGCAATACATGAACCAAATCACTGTTCTATTCTGGGCGTCACCCATTCTGACCGGAAATAGCAAACTATGTTACGATTAATTAGCAGCCTGAACCAATCACAGGGCAGATTGGTTAATGGCTACGTAAGTGGACATCCCAATAACACATCAATGAACACACCGCGTTGCAGGCCGAAATTCCAACTCCTTCATGGTTGGGCCGAGAACTTTTTGAACGCCCCTCGTATATGAGTTTGAGTTACTATTTCAGACAGCAGTAACGCTTCCAAGGGTGGCTATCACCGTAAGGCCGATCTGTGGATAACATCGCCATCAGTGGCGGTGCTACCCGCACATTTTTTGGAGGACGAAAAATGCAGGACTTGTTTTCGACGTCTGTAAAGTAGCGAAATTTTATAATGGAGCGCTGGACACTATGCCAACATGTAGGAAAACATTCCTACTTTCACATGAATGCAAAAGAGCTTCGTTTTTACTACGCATATCAGCTCGGTGAGCAGAAATGCTTAAGGTGGCGGTGCTCCCCCCGCTTCCCCTAAGTGGGCCAGACCTGTGCATGCACATGTGAGCAGATGTTTTGCGGTCGGTGTTTTTTAATATAAATACATTTATTTGCCTTTAATTCAACTCTTTGTATTTTTAACTTAACTGATGGACATATACCTATGGGCTGTAAAAGCTAATCTAGTTGGCGATCATGATTTATTCGAATTATCTGCGTGATCGTGCAACTGCATGATTGTTATGCTTAATGTTCAGGAATTATTCGTCATAGGGGCATGTTATACTTCTGGCTTGATGCGGTGCACAAAACCATGTTCTTCCACATACGCAGCAGTTCTTGCTTCAAAGACTTATATGCTGACGGTGCACGATAGGTATACCTACTGGGTATACCTACCTCATGCATTTACCACATCCATTCGAAAATATGCACTCGGAATTGTCTCCAGTCAATACCTAGTATTAATTACGTGACCGTAATAAATACTAATGATTCCAGAAACTTCCGAATGGATGTGGTGTATGCATTCATTGATTATATAACCCATCAGTATTTCGTTTCTTGTCAGCGCAAGCCTTTGAGCAATAACTGATGCCAGTCATGGTTTTGTGCACCACTTCCAGCCAAAAAATAACCTGTCCGTATAGAAAATATTTTCTGAATCAGTATCGTGGCAATTGAAAACGAACGCGAATCGTAAGTTCTTAAGGTTATCAACGGAAACAAAGCGATTGTAAGGAAGAACAAGTTCGAACGGAGCGTTAGTACACTTACTTGTTGACGATTTGTAAGCTAGCAATGCCAAGTCAAAGGCTAGTTCATCAACAAACCAGGGGTTGGTGAACCCTATCCAGAAGTTGGTAGGTCCACAAGGCCCAAACTAGTACTCAACAAGGTGACGCCTATGCGAATTGGAACCAAACTTGTAGACAAACTGTTAGTTTGTTGGCCAACAAGCCTGGGGTTGGTGAATCGGCAAGGTATCGACAAGGTGACGCCTATGCGAATTGGAACCAAACTTGTAACAAAGAGCCAACTTGTAGATTTGGTTTACAGTGTTGTCTGGCTAACAAGTTATACAATACGCAGTCACCTGAGTCGGTGTAAGCTTTACAAATTTGTAAATGTGATTCATCACAATATTCGTGAGTAAACCAGGTAAGTGATAATTTTGCTTGTTGACGGCAAGCTTTCCATCTGAATTTTCCTTCTAAGAAATTACGTATTTTTGTTAATGAAACCATGACAACGGACAATTGTAAACAGTTCATTTTGCAATCCTTTTTCAATTTTCTTCTGAGCAGCGACATATTTAGCGAAATTTATTAGCGAGCTGGGGTGGGCCATGTAATAAAATGAATACTGGGGGTAGGGGCAATAAGAAAACAAATATTGCCCTCTTTGACGTCACTGTAGCCTTCGGGCGAATACTTCAACAAGCATAATTGCCCTCCGCTAAGCCTCGGGCAGTAAAACATGTTTCGGTCTTCACCCTCGGGTTACAGTGGCGTCACATCGGGCAACATTTTCATATTTGCTTGCTACCCCACATAGTTTTCATATAATGGACCATTTCTATCCAGCCATTGTCAGACATTTATGAGCAACGACGCATATTTTAAGGGACCAATTGAACAGTGGTCTACCGGTTCCACCAAGCTATTTTCTTCTTTTTTTAACCTTAACAGTCCGTTTGCAGTACCACCGTCACACTCTTTGAACCGAAAATTGCCTCATAAATGTACAAAGAGGGAGTATATTTGAACTATACATAGAAGGCGTTACTGCTGCTGCAGTACATACGGGCATGGCAGGGGTGGCACATATAAATACGTGGTTTCACAGTACACTTATGAGCTACTGGGTAACGATACGGTCATTTACTCAAACGATGGAATTCCGTAAAGCAAAACAGCTTTTGTAACCGATATGTAGTGTAGACAGCTTACCAGAGACGACGTAAGATCGCAGAACGATTACAAAGGAAAACCAGATGCGATTCATGTGAAGATTACAGCAATACCTCATACTATTCCGGAAATAATGTGACTGAGGGCCGTCAACGCACACATAAGTCCGTCAGAAATCGTACAAAATCTACACGTTCCTACACGCATATAGTTCTGATCGGCTAGAGGGCTCGAATATCATTCGGGCACTGATCTCATAGCGGCCATAAATATCGTGCCACAATAGGTACATGGAACATACAACATCACAACACGGAACATTGTGGATAAGCAAGTCATCTCTCTCCACGACACAGGTGAATGACAAAATGCGCCGATTTCTCCCACTTTATACAGAATGCCACAATGCCCAGGCTGACACAACTGTCGACCAGATAGGCCTAATTCAGGCCTTTCAAATACGTATGTCACCTGCCACATGCAGGGATGATATCAAACCCTTTTGACTTAGGGTACTAACGATATGGCACAATATCAAATAGGTTGAATATCAGTCAACGCTGTTGGTCTCGACAAATTATCGTCCGATTTCCACTGTGGATCGTCATTTCTTAGGTGAAATATATATATTAGTAGCTTCAAAGTATAAAGGTATAGTTCGTTTTTTCTAAGTTCGACCCTCACTGTAAACATCTTTTTGAACATAGCACGAGAATTGCTATCTGAATTACTTAGAAAACTGGTTAGCGCACATTGTACTGGAGACATGAATAATATTTTCCAAATAAGATTTTTAACACCGATGATATACCGTTCTGTTAAACGCCGTTGATCTATTGGTCAGTTCATTTATAATTTCTGACAAGACGTCTATCCCTGTGGGGTTGTATATAAAGGCAACTACGAGCTAGCAGTCTGGAAAATAAGAGCCAGGGAGAAATAATTTTGAGTAAAATTAATCGTCTGTGAAATCAATGTGCGCTAGCCAGTACAGTGAGGGTCGAACTTAAGAAAAACGAACTATAGTTATAGTGGCTTCAAAGACCGTGGCCGACTGCACGTTAATACAGCTTTGACGAGGACAATTATTACATTACAAGATCAATGCTTTTTCCAAGCATGAAATCAATTTAGGGGGATGCACTTCAAAAAAGCTTTTGTTTTAATTTGTAAAACAATCAGAGATTCTCCAACATCGTTGCAAGCGTCTTATTTTCGAATTGATACGAAAGAGCTGTAAAAAACACAACCTTCGATGGTACAAATAATTACGCAGCACCACCGAGAACCAAGCCGACTTGACTAAGACGCCTCCAGAGTACTTACCCTCCTATCCTCCTAGGCCATAGTTGCATCGTTGGCACCTTACACAGCTCACACATGACTACTAAACAACCAAATATCTCCAATGTCGGAGAAACTCTCCGTAAAACACACCGAACTCACCGGAAGAAGTAGAAACATCTCGCTCCACTTGACGTCATTCTACCGATACTGGTGGAATGCAGTTACACAGAGTCGGGTTTGTATTTGTAGGCGCGTTTCCAGATCTCGCACAGACACACGGTGCAGTGGAAGCGGTAGAATATGGCCAGAGGCATCGACACGTGGCTGATGATGGTCCACGCCCAGAAGCCGAAGAAGTGCAACTGCTTAGGGTGGGCGTCCGAGCGCGAGGTCTCGAACGTGTTGATACACCACATGGCCAGGTTGCAGATGAGGAGGAACGTTACCACCTCTCTCCCGGGCTTGTGCCGCACCTGAGGGGAAGGGAATCGGGATCACAGCCTTCTTAAAACGAACGGACACCTGCTGGCAAACGTGCAAAGTATAGGAGAACGTTTTTTTATACATGCCATGGATGATGGTCAGCTCGATAAGATTGAAAAAAAAAACGCAGCAAAGTGCAATTATTTTATGTTTTCTTAGTAGGAGACAAATATGCGAAGTGTTATTTATGCACGGTTGATGTAGATTATTGATGAATATGTTCATTTATAATCCTCACCTGACTACTTCGGCTGGCCTGGCGACACGAGGCGTCCAAAATGAACATCGTCTGCATCGTCACCTGAAAAAGTGACACATCGGTATGCCATTCAAGAGCAAAGGAAACAGCGTGGGAGGTATATAAAAGCTCTTCATTATATTGACATTTGACACAACCCAGCTTCATATTTTTTTTACACCTTTGCCTTAACGTGGCGCATATCGGGATTCTTCTTGAGACATCTAGCCGATACAATGAGAACTTGATTGTCATGCGGTACAGCTTCATTCAGGCGTTTGATGGCAGAGACATCTAGGGGGAGAATGTGAACTACGCTGATGTCTCTCTCTCTCTCTCTCTCTCTCTCTCTCTCTCTCTCTCTCTCTCTCTCTCTCTCTCTCTCTCTCTCTCTCTCTCTCTCTCTCTCTCTCTCTCTCTCTCTCTCATTCATAGGTCATAGGTCGGTCATTCATAGGTCATAGGTCAAGGCATTCATAGGTCGATCATCTGACAATTTACATTACAAAATTGGAGATAAAGGCTTCGATACGAGTACAGATGTGAGAACAAATGTGCAATGCTGCGCATAACTAACTACACGTATAAAGCAACTAACTACAGGTCGATGCAAGTAAACGACAGGTTTGGCATGACGACAGTGAACTGCAATTTTACGTTGCACAATGCAACACACAGCATGATTTACACTTTACAGACACTTAGAAACGCACTAATATGCACAATCACATACATCATAGAAATATATACTTGTGCCCTCTTCTAATTAGACTAAGCGTCTGGCTTCAGGCTGAAACACTACATAATATTGTTCACTTGTTCACTTCATGGCCACCTTGCCATACGAATAAAATCTACCATGCGTTAGCGTCTATTGGCGGACATATGGTTGTTTTATAAACCACGGAGAGGCGGTCGGACAGGCGCCTAACAGCCTCGAGCCAAGATTTCAACAAGCATTATTGTCCTCAGCTACGCCTCGTGCAATAAAGCATATTTCGGTCTTCATCCGTGCCATATCTTTCGCACCCCGAGCCGACAGTTCTCACATCGCCTGTCTCACCTGTATCTAGCTCACCTGGTTCACCTGTGCCTGCACCTCACCTGCACTATGGACATGATGCCGGTGATGAGCTGGTACAGGTCGCCGGAGAAGTGGGAGCCGATGATGTTGAAGGAGGCGTACAGGTAGACGCCCGTCTGCGCCACCACCAATAGGATGTTGTCCAGCTCGATGTTTCGCTCCGAATCGTACCTGAAAAATACGAGTCATTAGTGTCTGCAATTTAGCAATTGAGCGGTATAACTCGGTCGCTTTCATTGTGCTCGACTATTCCACAGGAGCAGTTGGTAACGTAACCACCAGCCTGAACCAAGCAAACAAGGCTGAGTCGCTGTTTCTGTATCATCCCTACTAGCCTCTTCACTGCCCTCGCGAACCCACCTGAGTCGCTGGATCTGTATCATGCCGACCAGCGTGGCCAGGACGGTGACGCTGTACAGCACCAGCTCCGTCATGCTGGCACTCATGATAGCCACCGAGCGAGTGGCACCGTTGTTGATGAGCACGAAGAATAGAATCAGAGAGATGACCGAGGCGACGAACACCAGTATTCCCAGAAACAGACCCTTGGAAGCCCTGGAAGTGCAGAATGGTAAGCGTGTTTTGGCAGCCGATGCTACGGTGAATGTTTGACGGCAGTAAAGCGACAGCAACACATTCAACAGCGTGGAAAGTAGGCATTGCTTATTCATAAGTGGACGTCGCATCATTAAGTATTCAGAACGAAGCACATTGCTAAAATGTTTTCCATTAACAGCGCCTTCTTATGAATTAAAGTAAAACTTGGCTCGCAAGTTTAACGTGCGATTCTTAGGACATGAAATGTAAATTAATATATCTTAGGGATTGACGTAGGAAAGTAAACAGCTTTTACTGTATGCTTCCTCACATAAACTTGTGCTTCTTCATGGAACATCACGGCTCTGCAGTGCTCATTTCAACATATAGCTCAATTTAGCTAAGTGTTTGACTTGTGGGACAGTCGCGTTACTTTATGGGTTTCTGTTTGATGGAGGTCACGATTGACCTTTAAAAGCGTTATCATCAGCTCAATAACATACAGGACCTGGTAATGCTCCCCTGCTTATTGCTCACATACAAATACCAACCTTCTACAAAGAAAAACGGTGACGACTTCTTTGAATGAACTCACCTTGCACAATCGACTGAATACTGATGTTTCTTCAGCTTATCGGTCACCACCGAGAGGCTGAGGTCGGGCACCACACAGACCGTGTTCAGCTTGTTGAGGTTCTTCCACATGACGTAAAGCGTGGCCGCGCAGATGAGCGAGTACTCGATAGTACAGGGGAAGAGGAACGGGGCCGCCGAGTTCACCAGCTGACCCATGATGTCGGAGCGCATACACTTGGTGAGCGAGGTGCCGTCCAGGGTCGACCTGAAGTGACCCAGGTCCTCCAGCAGCGTGGCCGTCTCGGAGCTCACTTCAGCGCTCTCGGAGGACGAGGATGCCACTGGAAAACGAAGGAATGCCGGTTATGGAGAGGTTCTAAGTTGAATAATTACCACTTACTTTTGTTGAAAATATGCTTCGTTCAGACTGAGCGGTGTTCTTCTCCTTCCATGAGACTTTTCTCTACTATTCTAACCGCGCCCTAAATTCAACATGGCAAAGGTCAGTAAATGAATGAAAGAATGAATGAATGAATGAATGAATAAATAAACGAATGGCTTAATGAATGATTGAATGAATGAATGAATGAATGAATGAATGAATTAATAAATGAATGAATGAATGATTGAATGATTGAATGAATAAATGAATGAATGAATGATCAGTCATTTAATCAATCAACAAGACAACCATTACCACCCAACTTACACTCATTGCTGTCGTCCAGTCCCCCGGGAATTCGCAGTGAGTCGGCGTCATGATCCAGCTTGTGCAGCAGGTGCACCAGCTCATGCTTCGTCTCCTCAATCACCACGTTCAGCCAGACACAGAGGTTGGTGCCCACCATGTGCATCAGGCCGAACCGCGCCACCAGCTTGTGCTGGTTCACACACATCTGTAGACAGAGAAATTAACGGGTGTTAGTGCGAAACAAATGGCTCTAAACGAGGAGCAAGTGAAGGTTACAAGGTGATGAAACGCTTCACTGAAAAGGGAACGTCCGAAAGACAACAATGGGTGTTTGGGGAAGCCAGATCAATACGCGTGTCGTTGAAGGAAATGAACTGGCTTGTTTTTCTCGAGTTGTTATGTTCGGAACTCACCACCTCTGAAGAAGAAAATAGCGTTTCAAACTACGCCACTTGACTGCAAAGCAGAAAGTGCGTTTATGGGCGCAATAAGTTCACGCTAGTAGCGTTTTTCCAAGTCCAACTTTGCTGTCGCACAAAGGAGCTTCTTTGTCGGATGTATCATAGATCGTGAACTTACACGAGACTCAGAAAGTAAGTTGTCACCGAGACTAACCTTACTTTAACTTCCTGAATATAAACGTACACATTATGCATATCACCTTCGTACTTACACTGGCGTTGAGGAAAATGAAGTACATCTGGACAAAAGTGAAGGCTAGCCGTAGTCCGGGGGTAACCACCACCAGAATGTTGGTGCACTCGTCCAGGGCAGGCATCTCGAAATACTGGCCCATCGAGAGGCCACAGTAGATCATACTGCCGATTCCGAACACTGAGGGCAAAGAACAGGGGTCGGGGGGGGGGGGGTCAATTGTAATGAATAAGGTCATGCGCTATGCACGCCAGTCAGAAAGCAATGTCATCGCGTTGCAAATACAACTGAGTGAAGTGGCGTTTAAAAGCCCATGAACAATGGAAATTTCATCAACTTGAAAAAGCGAGAAAGTAAGGCACTTCAGATGATACAGACTGCTTATGACTATCCTAATCAGGCCTTAAGTCTTTAATTAACACGAAAATATTTCAAACCACTTTTCCCTGATACACCGTCTCACTCACGGACAGCTCCCATGCGGAGGTAGAAGCTGCCGTAGTTGGCCACCAGCACCTGGTACGGTTTTCTCTGGGAGGCGCGGCTGGTCTGACTGATGGAGTCCAGGTCACGGCCCAGCTTGTCCCGCTGTGAAGCCTCCGGGCGCAGCAGTCGGTCTGTAAGAAACAGCGAACAGTTCTCGAGCCATTCTCGGTATATATGACCATCGGTTGCCAGCTCAATCAGTTCACCGTGGGCTAGTTTAAAAATGTTGCAACACGCGTACGAATTCATGCATGCAAAGGGCGTACAATATTATTTGTTATTTCCAATTAAAAAAAACAACAACTTATAAGGTACTTCACTCAATCTCATTTATCACTGCATAATTACTTCACTGAGGCGCATTTGTCCTTGCATACCCCTGGAAATACCGACAGCAGAATGGACACCTTCATAGCATTGCCATTTGTCACTATGCAACAGGTGTTTTTATATGAAGTCGTGCACAAGTCTATCTAAAACGTAACACAGTGGAAGGTCGTGAATGAAAGGTCTAATAAAGTAGGTCGAGCGGAACAAATGGTGGGGAAATACAGTGCAAAACAGCAGGCCTCCGGCACTACAGTAATGACATACATTGTGCTTGAACATTAATTTGCGTTAAATCATTCGTTTCATGCTCCACTGCTCTACAAATAATATATCAACCGATATTGCACAAAGAACATCTATCGTAAAAGGGAGAGAGATCAGTAGGAATGCTGATTCAACACTACATTAACAAACAAGCGCAAATTGTCAAAACTAGCCTTTACGCGATTTATCGTCACTTTTCTTTGCCACCCGTCCGCCTCTCGGGCCTGGCAAAATGACATGGAGGCAGACATCAGGGATGCCTCGGGCAGCGTGAATAAGGTGTTACGTTTTCAGCTCGGGAGAAAAGCAGTGTAAATCACTTATGACCTAGCTCAAAGATGCAACAGATTGATCTCTTTTTATGAGGAGTGTCCTGCTTCATAAAAAAAAACTGACCAATCGTGAATAAATTGTTAGTTTATACTTCACAGCACAGATCAAGTCCAGCTCACAAGTAACTAAACGAGTTCATTTCAATGACTAAAAGTAAATGACACTTCTCGCTGCAGTCGTAACTTACTGAGCCTAGAGACGCTGGCACTGGAGAGCTTGGACAGCTTTGAAGAGCCCGGCGACGATGAGGACCCAGACAGGTCTCGCATGAGGAACATGTATACGTACAACAGGAACAGAATGCTGACGCTGTACAAGAATATGTAGAATGCCTGAAACAGATGTGTGGTAGAGAGCACAGTAAGAGCGATGGGCATGTCCGTGCTGACCGCCTATTAGCGTAACAATGTCCAATATCACGCCCTAACGTCGTAACTAACAGAAAACCAACGCAAATCGCAATCAGAGAAGTAGCTGGATGTCATCAAGGTTCACATTTACCCGATTCGAGTAATTTCTGACAAATGATGACAAAGCTATAGGGATAGCTTGAAGTGTAAATACGACACATAGACAAATCCTGCTGAAGTTAAGAACAATGGAAGCAGCGACAGGGGCCGGACTTCGACTCACATTGTAATAGAACGGCGGTATTTCCGGCGATATGACCTCGGAGAGGGGGAAGGCGAGACCGATCACCACCAGCAGCTTACAGTAGAGCGCACTCAGTACCAGCATCAGCGACTCACTGCCGGTGAGAAAATAGAAGTGAGTTGTACGAGCAGAACAACGTGAATCAGCCTCAACCCAACCAACCGGATGTATTAGTCGGTACAACATTGAACAACACCGAACGTAGCCCGTAAACAAAACAAGAATCAGAAGTGTTTTCGAATATCTTCATCGTTTGGAAACATGACAACTGCCCCACCTGATGTAAAGCCGAGACAGTCGGTCTCTCAGCCACTCGCAATTTGCACTGTCTGCATTGCTAGCAATTCCGTCCTCCACAAACTCCTGCTCCTTCTCCTGTTGCTGCTCCTGATCTATCTCCTCATCCAGAGTGAAGAGGACAGCCGGCTCCCCCTCACCCCCGACCCTCAGTTTCCAGGGGCGTGGCGGCGTGGCCGGCGGGGTAAAAGTTACACTGGGCGGCCGATGACGTGGACTGCTGTCGCCCATGATAGGCACAGTTGGAGGTGGTTCTATTTCAATTTGGAATAAAGAACAACAAAATAAGCAAGCATTGGTGGTTGGATTCAATGATTCATGCGAAACTGAGTTCTAGCTTGTAGCTTAGCTTAGCTGTTGAGATTAAAAAAATAAAATATTTCCAAGAATAAGAAAAGCGTTGGTTCCTTAAGTTTGGATCTTTTGTTTCTTCTCCACTCGTCAATTGAATAAAATGTTCCGTTTTACTTTTCAATGCTCGATTTTCTCCGCTTAGCAAAATAATTCACTCTTCACTTCACGATTTTCATTCACCACCAGTCACCCCAACCTTGCCGCACTTGTCTGGCCTCCGTAGCGTCCCTCCAATCCTTCACAAGCACGCCCGCCGCCAGCCGCTCGAACCAACTGCCCCACACAACCGCTCGGCAGGCGCCACACGAGAGAGCGACGGTTGGCCCGCCCGTTCACAGCCGATCTCCGAAGGGATCACGTCCAATCAGACCCACTTCCCCTCCCTAAACGACCCGCTTCCTGTGTCGAACTGACCTTAGGTTATGCTCCATCGATGTCACGCTTGCAATGCAGGATGTTGCGACAGATTATCAACTAGGCGTTTGGTAATTTTTGTCGGCACCTGCGCTTGAAATGGTTGTCCATAAACACAACAAATAAGTATTCAGCGGTGTGGGGTTATTTTGTCGGCTCGAGTCGCTCCAACAGCACAGAGTCTGCGTGGTGTAAGACGCGCATTTAGACGATTGGCTCGAGCCCAGTTGAATGCACCAACGCTGGCAGCGATACAAGTTTGGCGACGGTTGCTGGCACTGATTGAAATTCCAACAATGTGTCCCCATAACACACTGCTGGGCTGGTAATCTTCGAGAAGGTCGTTTTTTTTTTGCGAATTGTTAAACCAAACCAAAGATGTCCGACTTGTGGCAAGACCACGGATAAGTCATTGTGACCAACTTTACGTTCGAGGCACCCTAAAGCCCCAATAAACTAACAATCACAAACATGTCTTTATCCAATGGTTTTAATTGTTTCAGTACATTACTAAATTGCCTTAAAATAATAATAACAATATTATACATACAGGAGCCAGTAAAAAAAAAAAAAAAACGCTAGCCTATAGGCAATTGTAAAAATATCGTCGGTAAAGGGCAGCGACACATTTGAAAGTTCACAAACTCATAAAGATAAGTTGGCTTTCTCGACTTACATTTCCGAAATTACCGTTTGCAAATCATATGGCGCAAATAGCGTGACTTCTAACCCGCATCAAAAGGTTTCGCTTCTGTCACTTACCTTAATCAGGAGCTGAACATTGGTAGGCATTTTTCAATGTTCCGTGTAACTACTTCATATATCTGACGCCTTTATTGTAATATCAACGATACCCACCAGCTCTGTTGTTTCATGCTTTTGGTGTGCACCGACGCCAGGTCATTGTCGTCGTCCAGACAGGGCGCGATCTCGTCCAGGTCGTCCGAGTCGCCGTCCGCGCAGCTGGCCAGAAACTCCTCCGTGGCGTGACTGCGATCAATAAAACACCGTCAGACCCACCGGCCACGCCGGCCAAACGCGATGAGCTGCACGTAAACGGATCGTGAATAATAGAGCTACGGCACGAGCCAGGAAGTCAGGCTCAAATGGCACAGCAGTAGAAAACAAACTACACACTCGTAGCGTCCACTGTCGTAAGCACAACCTAATTACCAAATGACAGTTAATTGCTACAATATTTGGATATCAATCTTACCTATCACGACGATCAGTGTGCATGATGGAGACGGGGACTCGCGGTGGTCCGGGTGGTGGTCCTGGTCCCGGTCCTGGTCCTAGCCCCGGTCCCGGTCCCTCGGCCAGGGCGCGGCCCTGCGAGGGACCGGGGGCCGGTGAGGGGGCCGGTGCCGGCGGCGATGGCGGTGGGTACGCGGGGGCTGTCACCTCCACCCGTTCGGGCGAGGTCCGGGAATGCAGCTGAGGGAAGCTTCCCGACCTGGAAAATAGGACGGAGAGGTTTGTTAGTCTCTGTAACAGACCGACAATTGGTTTGAGTACACGGTATCATGACGCGTCTAATGAAAAGAAAATTGTGTACGGGCATCCCTAAATCATAATATTGCAAAGACATACAGTGATAATTGCTCTTTTTTAAATAAATCATTGCAATATATGATTTGTTGGGTGCTAAGTTCATCCAGTCTCTTGCCTTCGCAAATACCCTCAGTTTGTCCTCGTCTGGAATAGCGCAATGTTGGCGTGACCTTTGCCCGTTTAATCCGGAAGGGTAGTCGGATCGAAGCGGTCATTTTGGCTGCAGACACACTAAAGACAGCAGCACACCCTGACGTAGGAAACCGTAAACGTCGCGATCAAACGATTGCACCCGGCCACTCTTTGTAAACGTAATCGCGTACTATAAAACAGTAACAATGCACAGTCATGTAAATAAGTAATTAGAGTAGATGTGCTTTCAGCAAAGGAATGTAATTTGCTTAGTGGTTCAACTTCAGTGGCCAGTGGGATGGAAACTTGCATGAGTTAGCATATTATTATCACAGAAACTTCTTATGAATCGTATACACAACGAGTAGTACCGATCAACTGATACAATGGAATTATCAAGAGTTGAAACATGAACATTGAACTGCAATTTTTTACGGTTTTTATACGTATCTTTCAATATAGATACAGTATGTCGACACTTCATTACTTAGGGCAATGAGAGATAAATGTGTTGATATTTTTAAAAATTGCAGTAACAATTGTATTATCAGGCCGAATTATATAAATATTGGAATAATTATTAATTACATTAAAATAATAATTGTAGACATTTTTTAGGTTGAATGTATGAGTTTATGTTACGTTTTCATTACGATGCACATAACTTATTTTTTAAGATTGAAACGAAACCTGACGGTGCTATGCAATGCGCGTGACAACGCGACTCACTCACATAGATAATTTCCTTTTTAACCTGTGCATTGAGGCGTCTCGTAGACCAATTGCAGACCTTTTAGCTCACTTCAGTAGATCTAATCATGGTACCTTGCTTATCATAACTGCCTGCTCGACTTTTACAGAAATAGAGAGACTGCGTTCAATGTTCATGCACAGTCTAGCCCCACACCACTATTTCAGACACTCCAGCCAATACGAGCAGCTCACTCGGAGTCTCTGCACGGCACACTTCAGCACCACACCGCTAAGCACCATGCCCCGTCCCGCCGTTTGGCAACACTGCTCAGCCGTCACCAACCCGCACCAATTGAGAGAGCGGGGGGGGGGGGACTCAGGGGGGGGGGGCTGTTGCGACCACCGGCGGCAGTCGTTCATCACACCCTATCGAATCCCGACCGACATCGCCATTGAGCTATGGCAGTCGATACAGGATGACAATCGACAGCTCTGGAACGAACTAGGAGGTCGAGCTCTGATCTATGGGCGTCATGTCGATAGATAGAAAGATTATCACCTAATGTGCAGATCATCATTTTTTCACGATAAACGCCGATAGGATTTCTAACTAGTCAGATCATACAAGCTCCATTAACTCCCCCCCCCCTCCCACCCCAAAGAACACTGACGGTTCAAGCAATGATAAACGTAAAAAAACTTCAGAGAGAAAAAGTTCAAGGTTATAAACGTACTACATTTAAAATTGTTCAGACAGCTGACAGTTCCATGGCGCATAATTCTTTTTCAATAAACCTTTACATTTTACCCTAAAAAGATATCGTGAGGCATTGTTGAAAGCTGAGACGGTGGAGCTTCCGTGTAAAGCTGCCCAAACTCAGCGGAAGTCCTACGACGGAAGTCTGAATCCCCAGCGGGCTGTCGAGAAGTAGCCATACAAGGACCCCGCGGGGGACTGATTCACAACACTAAGCAGGTGGTGGCCTACAAACCAGCCTCCAGCACGCACTCTCTGCCACACGCGGAAGTGTTTTGGGATTTACAATATCGTTTTAATGTGGCAAATGGCAGAAGTGAGGAATTGATAAAAGTTGCTTTCATTTTCGATGAACTTCAACCAAATCTCATGCTCAATCAAATGCGTGTTGTATTTGTCTCTCAGTTTAATATAAGACGTGCATAAGATGAAATAAATAAGAGCACAGAACGTAGAGGTAGCGGAATATGATTCATCGGCATACCTAGTTATCGTAAGACAACTTTAGTGTCCACCGCCGTATCCGCCGCCATATCCACCGCCGTATCCGCCGCCGTTTCCACCGTATCCACCGCCGTTTCCACCGCCGTTTCCACCGTATCCGCCGTTTCCACCGCCGTGTCCGCCGTGCGAGGCGTATCCCGAGTAGGTCACCTCGGCGTTGTGTCCGCCGTAGCCGTACTGGTCCGAGTGGTACTTGACGTGCTGGGTGCGGCCGTCCGGCAGCGCCACGCTGTAGTAGCCCTGGGCCGCCTTGCCGTCGTTGCTCTCGCTGTGGGAGAACTTGGGGCCGTAGTGCGGGTCGTCGACGCCGTAGGAGAACTTGTAGGAGGTGGGCACGCTGTGGTCGCCGCCATAGCCGCCTCCGTGCCCGCCTCCGTGCCCGCCTCCGTGCCCGCCTCCGTGCCCGCCTCCGTGCCCGCCTCCGTGCCCGCCTCCGGCGCTGACGGCGGCCACCAGGAGCGATGCGATCACCAGCACCTTCATACTGCTGCTGAGCTGTGACTACACTGCTGTGGACGCTGGGTGGACTGGTGGTCTGACCGCTGGCCGTCTCCGTTATATACGGCTGGGTTGGGGGCTAGTGCCGGGGGCAGCCGAGGGTGACCGGGCTGACCCAAGCGGTTCAGTTCCTCACGACTGGAGTATAGCCGTGTCACGTCTAACAATTAGTTGTCCATGGAGTGTCTAGAAGGGAAACATAAGCGTACAAGACAGTAGACAGTTAGACACTGCATTTGAAAATGCTTTCAATTGCATAACCTATTAATGAGCAAACGAGAAATGCATGGTTTAATGATAGAAAAACTCATCAATAGTGGCCCGACCGGTTTAGGGCCCGTGACGCTATTCAAGACTTTTGCATGTCTCGACGCACCGGCTCAACCAATCGTCAGGCGTCTGCTGCGTCAGATAGTTCCATTTGTTCTAACGGTCGCTTTTATATTCTTATCGAGAACGTCTGGGCTGTCTGTGCTCAAAATAATCGTTGACAACCTGTTAGAAGAGTGGAATGCAAAATTGTCAGCTGAGGCCTCGCTACATTTGTGCACGTGCATAGATCACCCTCTACATCTGAAGAACGGCTGGGCCGATTGTGCTTAAGGAAAGCACGCTATGAGAGACCGGCTACACAAGCTGACCCGCACAAATCAGACGATGATCCCACTTTGCACTTAACAACTCCAGGGCAACTGCAGTTTCAATCACTCCTTGGTCGTCGAAATTACGTTTTTTATATAATACGCAGGGCTCTAAGGATTAGCTAAGGAAAGCTGATGAAGTGAATCTCTCTCATCTCATTTACAACTCATGGTAAAAGGTAATAGCCTCTTATTGGTCAACCGCACATACCAGGTGAAGTTCACAAATCAAATGACCAGAAAAGCCAGCAAGGTGGCAGCATGCTGACAAAAAAAAAAAAAAGAAGAAAGACGACCGAACACTACACAGCGCCCATGCTATGCTATTTCCCGAGAGCTTACCAGTGTCGCCCAGTCACAAGTCACGTCGTTTTCAAAGTCATTATCGTCCTAACTCCTAATGCACAGTTACAGCAAATCGTGTAAACAACTTTAATTCCGCTAAAGCGAGCGTAACCTGACTTGCACTTCCGCGCCGGTCGTTCCACCTTCACGGCCACGACCGGAGACACGACAGCACCACCACTGACATCACGACCCGGCGGTGACCCCAGGTGTCGACTGGGGCGGCCCCGAGGGACAGCCCTCTCCCAGGGACACCCGGCGCCACCAAATGTGACACAGACGTGACCCGGCTGTGTATGTACATACATACCCCAGTCGTGAGGGGAGCCCGGGTCAGCCCGGTCACCCTCGGCTGCCCCCGGCACCAGCCCCGAACCCAGCCGTATATAACGGAGACGGCCAGCGGTCAGACCACCAGTCCACACAGCGTCCACAGCAGTGTAGCCACAGCTCAGCAGCAGTATGAAGGTGCTGGTGATTGCATCGCTCCTGGTGGCCGCCGTCAGCGCCGGAGGCGGGCACGGAGGCGGGCACGGAGGCGGGCACGGAGGCGGACACGGAGGCGGACACGGAGGCGGGCACGGAGGCGGGCACGGAGGCGGGCACGGAGGTGGCTATGGCGGCGACCACAGCGTGCCCACCTCCTACAAGTTCTCCTACGGCGTCGACGACCCGCACTACGGCCCCAAGTTCTCCCACAGCGAGAGCAACGACGGCAAGGCGGCCCAGGGCTACTACAGCGTGGCGCTGCCGGACGGCCGCACCCAGCACGTCAAGTACCACTCGGACCAGTACGGCTACGGCGGACACAACGCCGAGGTGACCTACTCGGGATACGCCTCGCACGGCGGAAAAGGCGGTGGAAACGGTGGATACGGCGGTGGAAACGGTGGGCACGGCGGTGGACATGGTGGAAACGGCGGTGGATACGGTAGTGGACACGGTGGAAACGGCGGTGGATACGGCGGTGGATACTAACGCTAGCGATCACCGTCTTTAAAATATCTGCATGATGAGCATCTGCGCTTTAAATTTGAAATATTTTATATGGATGAATGTCGAAAAGGCAATAGTGGTGACTTCTTTGATTGCATGTTATGTGTGAAATATACAAAATAATAATATACATGTCGTATTTTCTTGACTAACCAAGAACGTTTTTGATGTTCCATGTAATCATGGGCTCCCCCACGGTCTATAGGTCGATGATCTTTCACCAGACGTGTTCATGGAGCTGAGAGGTGGATCTATACGATCTTAGTGGAGCTTATACGATCTGAATGGATCTTTGATCTAATAGATCTATCGACAAACCAGAAACAGGGATCTATGTTCCAATTGGATCCCACAATGCGCAACCTTGCAAACCATGTTTGGAGGTGGTTCCATGTCAAAGAACAATTCACAAAACGATAAAATAACTACCTACTTCTGTGTCGAAAAAATGAGTACCCAAGGAGTTACATGCTCTCAACCTATCCCAATGCAAAAAAAAAAATGCATCGATGACTCCAATGGGTCTCTCGGCAAGCGAAAGGGCTGGATCCATCTTCCCATCGGTTCTGAGATCAAGATCGGTGGGAGCAGATCTCAAATATCTTTTCTCTTTCTCGCATCCATGCACACGGCGTATGGTAGAGTGAGGATAGAGGAAGGTACCGTCATCTGAAAAACTCGCCGCGTTTTTCAGCAGCGATGTAAAAAACGAGGGAAGATTTTTTAAGATTATTGAATGCTGAGCTATTACGTTTTTGATTATTTGACAATCAATTCAAGCCGGACGGTCTCATCCGAGAAACAGTTGGTTTGGCTGCTCTACATACTGAAATATGATTAAATACGTTAAGCGTCAAAGGAGATGAAAATTGCATGACTTTTCAATACCATTTAAATATTAATGGGGAGGTTTTACAAGAAATACAATGATAGATAACATTCAAATCGGGTTATCTGGTTATCTCCAATGACTTCGAACTGAATTTTACATCGTTTTTTTAGCCCGCTCTGTAACGGTCTTCTGTAGTTATGTGAACTAATTACACAGAGTAGTGGATTCGGAGCCAAGTGATGGGCTCCGAATCAGCGAACTGTCTAACATAATAGACAGTTCGCTGATTGGTTGCACGGTTGTGAAGATATAACCAAGTCTTTCAAAGCAAGATCCCTGATCGGGCAGGGCCACCCTTACCGTCCCGGTAACGGTTTTTCTTAAAGATAAGACAAAAAAAATATTGTCATGCTCATAAACAATGTCTATGCGCATGACAATAATTTTATCATGTTCAATATTACTCTGGCAGATTTTTTTCAAAAGGATTCGCGATTGACTTTACCTTAAACCTTTCCATATGACGTAGAGAGTTATGTGTCATTTGCTGTGATTATTGAGACCCGGTACCTTTAGAAACTTTACCTAACTCTGGAGCAAATTCACGTGGTGAGTGTTTCATCCATTTCATCCAGCCTCCTCGACCGAGACGAACTATAGAAAGCCACCAGGTATTGCGAGTCTTAACGTTTATTTCCACGCATGACGTAAGCAACAGCAGTCTTTATCCAATCCAAAACTGAGCCATTCATGCATGGAATACAACACGACATCCCATCATGAGCTCGCTAATGACATTCTCTACGCCAAGAGGAAACTGTGGAACGACTTTAGTATCCGCTGCCGTATCCACCGCCGTTTCCACCGTGTCCACCACCGTGTCCACCGCCGTATCCACCGCCGTATCCACCGTTTCCACCGCCGTGTCCACCATGCGAGGCGTATCCCGAGTAGGTCACCTCGGCGTTGTGTCCGCCGTAGCCGTACTGGTCCGAGTGGTACTTGACGTGCTGGGTGCGGCCGTCCGGCAGCGCCACGCTGTAGTAGCCCTGGGCCGCCTTGCCGTCGTTGCTCTCGCTGTGGGAGAACTTGGGGCCGTAGTGCGGGTCGTCGACGCCGTAGGAGAACTTGTAGGAGGTGGGCACGCTGTGGTCGCCGCCATAACCGCCTCCGTGTCCGCCTCCGTGCCCGCCTCCGTGTCCGCCTCCGTGCCCGCCTCCGTGCCCGCCTCCGTGCCCGCCTCCGTGCCCGCCTCCATGTCCGCCTCCGTGCCCGCCTCCGGCGCTGACGGCGGCCACCAGGAGCGATGCGATAACCAGCACCTTCATACTGCTGCTGAGCTGTGGCTACACTGCTGTGGACGCTGGGTGGACTGGTGGTCTGACCGCTGGCCGTCTCCGTTATATACGGCTGTGTTGGGGGCTAGTGCCGGGGGCAGCCGAGGGTGACCGAGCTGACCCGGGCTCCCTTCACGACTGGGGACACAGCCGGGTCACGATTCATGCCTTACCGATCCTGCCAAACATGCATATTGCAATTGGATGAAGTTTTTTTTGCTTTATTTAAAAACCATAAACAATTATAAAGACATAGTTTTAGATTTCATTAATCCGTAATATGCTGTTGCTGTGGGAACGAGGGATAAAAAAACAAATGTTTAACTAAAAAAGCAAAATTGTAAGCATAGTTTGCAGAACTCACTCGCAAACACTGACGGATCCATGAGGGAAAGGGGTTATTTGTGGCCAGTGCGCCCCTCCCCCCGCCTTTTTGGAATTTTGAGATTTTCTTAGGGGTCTTGGACCCCCGCAGTGTGCAAGACCGCCTTTCTGGATACGCCAGTGCTCATATAATAGGAAAACGTAGCATGAAATATCGGGGTTCATTTGAGCTGGTGATCACTGATGCCTTCAATAGAAAGGGCATCGCTTATCACATGTTGCGAGATTAGCCGTGTTACGAAGTTTCAGGTTTGCTGCAGTGACTTCATTACACCTGCTGTTTGCATTGGAGCACGCACCAAATCACACCATAGTTAGTCAACCGTAACACTTTTCCCTCCAAGGGCAGAACATTGTCAGACGTGACCCGGCTGTGTACCCCAGTCGTGAGGGGAGCCCGGGTCAGCCCGGTCACCCTCGGCTGCCCCCGGCACCAGCCGTATATAACGGAGACGGCCAGCGGTCAGACCACCAGTCCACCCAGCGTCCACAGCAGTGTAGCCACAGCTCAGCAGCAGTATGAAGGTGCTGGTGATCGCATCGCTCCTGGTGGCCGCCGTCAGCGCCGGAGGCGGACACGGAGGCGGACACGGAGGCGGGCACGGAGGCGGACACGGAGGCGGGCACGGAGGCGGACACGGAGGCGGGCACGGAGTCGGCTATGGCGGCGACCACAGCGTGCCCACCTCCTACAAGTTCTCCTACGGCGTCGACGACCCGCACTACGGCCCCAAGTTCTCCCACAGCGAGAGCAACGACGGCAAGGCGGCCCAGGGCTACTACAGCGTGGCGCTGCCGGACGGCCGCACCCAGCACGTCAAGTACCACTCGGACCAGTACGGCTACGGCGGACACAACGCCGAGGTGACCTACTCGGGATACGCCTCGCACGGCGGAAACGGCGGTGGACACGGTGGAAACGATGGAAACGGCGGCGGATACGGTGGTGAACACGGTGGAAACGGCGGTGGATACGGTGGTGGACACGGTGGAAGCGGCGGTGGATACGGTGGTGGATACTAACGCTAGCGATCACCGTCTTTAAAATATATGCATGATGAGCATCTGCGCTTTAAATTTGAAATATTTTATATGGATGAATGTCGAAAAGGCAAAAGAGAGACTTCTTTGACTCTATGTTACGTGTGGAATATACAAGATATACGACATGTCGTACTTTCTTGAGTGATCATGATCGTTTTTATTGTTCGATGTAATCAGGGTCTCCCCCACGGCCTATAGGTCGATGATCTTTCACCAATCACCAGACGTGTTCATGGAGCTGAGAGGTGGATCTATGATCTGAATGGATCCTTGATCTCATAGATCTATCGACAAATCAGAAACAGGGATCTATGTTCCAATTGGATCCCACAATGCGCAACCTTTCAAACCATATTTGGAGATGATTCCATGTCAAACAAAAATTCACAAAACAATAAAATACCTACTTTTGTGTCGAAAAATTGAGTACCCAAGGAGTAATGTTCTCAACATATCCCGATGCAAAAAAAGCATCTATGACTCCAATGGGTCTATCGGCAAGCGAGAGAGCTGGATCTATGATCCCATCGGCTCTGAGATCAAGATCCGTGGAAGCAGATCTCAAATATCTTTTCTCTTTCTCGGATCCATTGCGCACAGCGTATAGTTGAGTAAGGATAAAGGAAGGTACCGTCAACTAGAAAACGCGTTTTTTAGCGGCGATGTGAAAAGGAAAGAGATATATATATATATATATATATATATATATATATATATATATATATATATATATATATATATATATATATATATATATATATATATATATATATATATATATATATATATATATATATATATATATATATATTTTTTTTTAATTATTGAATGCTGATCTATTACGCTTTTGATTATTTGACAATCAATTCAAGCCGGACGGTTTCATCCGAGAAATAGTAATGGTTTGGTTGCTCTACATACTGAAATATGATGAAATACGTTAAGCGTCAAAGGAGATAAAAATTAGACGACTTTTCAATACCATTTAAATATTACTGGGGAGGTTTTACAAGAACTACAATTTAACCCTATTCCTGGCGGGGGGGGCCTCAGGAGCCCCCCCCCCCTGAGGTTTTTTGGTTATTTCTCCCAAACGCGTTGAGCTAGGAAGCTCAAATTTTCTGACTTTTCCTAAAAGGCTTCTACGCAACATGTCTGAAAATTTTGAGTTGATCTGACCTCAGGTCAGGTCACCAGAGGCGGTTTGGTGACCCTACCTCAGAAAAGTTTGCAATCACGCCAGAGCTAGAGTTTTTGACCGATCGATTTCTTCTCTTCAGGCTTTAGTTAGGGTACCAGTATGTGCAATTTGTATATCTCGGAATTTTGATATCGGTGACCTAAGGTCAGGTCAGTTTCGCGACCTCCCCATTATAAGTCAATGGGGGAAAAATCAACTCCCTGTTTTTACCACTAAAACGGGTCGGAATGGCCCCATATACCATACATGACTTTATATACGATCAAACTTCACTACCTTGAGGTCTGTTTTGCTGTTGGGCAGCTGTGAGGTCATGTGACGTCATCAAAGGTCAGCAAAGGTTTTTGGCCAATAACTCCGTACAGGAACAAGATACAGACGCGTGGATGGTCTCATTGTGTTCAGCTCGTCAAGACGCATCGAATGATATACATGATGACCTCGAGGTCACGTGACCTGAGGTCAACCTTTGACCTTGACCTTGCGAGGTCAACATATATATCATTCGATGCGGATTGACGAGAGGATCACGATGATACCCTTAGTTTGTTCCTATCTTGACTAATTCGAAAGTTATTCGAGAAAAACTCTCTCCATATCTAGCGCCGCCATTTTGACTTTTTCGACCCCTGTGACGTCATCTTTGACCTGACCTGAAAATGACCTTATTAAAAATTGTAGATCTTGACCGTGCGTATCCGATGCCGTTTACCGTTTGTCGCTATCTTGCTTCGTTCTCGAGATCTCAGGGGGGGGGGCGAATCGGCCCCCCCCCCCCGCCAGTTTCTTGTCCCGGCGGAGCCCGCCAGGAATAGGGTTAAGATAACAATCAACGCTGGTTATCTGGTTATCTCCGATGACTCCAAACAGAATTTAACGTCGTTTTCATAATCCGCTCTGTAACGGTCTTCTGTGGTTATGTGAACTAACTACACCGAGTATTGGATTAGGAGCCAAGTGATGGGCATACCTAACATAATAGACAGCTGATTGGTTGCACGGTTGTGAAGATATAACCAAGTCTTTCAAAGCAAGATCCCTGATCGGGCACCCTTACCGTCCCGGTAAGGGGCACCGTCCCGGTAAGGGTTTTTCTTAAAGACAAGACAAAAAAAAAACTATTGTCATGCGCATAGACAATGTCTATGCGCATGACAATAATCTTATTATGTTTCATACGCGCACTGCAGCGGGTCTGAGCCGAACACGAACTGCAGGGGGGGGGGGGTTGAAAACAACCCCCTCCCCTGAGATCTCGAAAACGGTGCAACGTAGCGACAAGCAGAAAACGGCGTTGGATAGGTTGAGATGAGGTCTACAAGAAATACTAAGATCATTTTTGGGTCAGGTAAAAAACGAGGTCAGCAGAGGTCACCAAACTCAAAATGTTGCGATTTTTTTTAGCGATCTCGACATCCTCCATATTTCCGCTTTATCTCGGGAACTAGATGAGCTAGAAAGTTGCGAAAAAAGCATTCGATAGCTGTTGAAACGCTCTTTCGCTAAGCTGTCCTCAGATTTGACCTAAGGTCAACGGTTCAGCCTATAGAGGTCATGTAATGTCAGATCAATATTGCAAATTTTCCGGAAATGCTTTTTCTGCAATAACTTTTCTTCCCAAAGAGATAGAGAAATATTTCACACACCATCGTTCTTAGCTCGTCAAGGCGCATCGAATGGTATATAAGTTGACCTCGAAAGGTCAAGTTCAAAATTTAACCTTAGGTCAAGGTCATGACCTGACCGAAATAGGTCATGTTGCATATCATTCGATCCGCATTGACGAGACAAACACGATAAACGTCGAACGGAGTCTCTGTCTCTATTCAATTAAAAGTTATTGAAGAAAAACCGTTGGTGACCTCTGGTGACCTGAGATTGAGGTCATGTTAGGTCCAATATTGACCAAACTAGGGCAAGTTGAATATTGATCGACGCGTCTTGATAAAATAAGCGGGATGGTGAAAGAATGACGTTTCTATGTCCCATACTTCTCGAGTTATGTCCGAAATTGCATGCCGGGCCCCAAAAAGTGACCTGACCTAAGGTCACAGAAATAAAAATTTCGAAATATAAAAAATGTTCCTTATGGTCTCCTTATATGTTTCTGAAAGTTTCATAGCATTCAGTCAAATGGTGTGGATGTAGCACAGCGTCAAACTTTTTATAAGGTGAGGTCACTTATCGTGACCTGGTGACCTGACCTTGCATGACCTAACACTAATGTTTTCAGAAGTAATGTAAAATTGTTTGATGACCAGCTATACAAAGTTTCAAAGTCGTAGCGTCACTGGTTTTTGAGTTACAGCGAAAAAATCAGAGGGGGGGGGGGCGGGTTGAAAACAACTGAAACCCTGGTTGAAACCCTGCAGTGCGCGTGTTAATATTACTCTGGCAATTTTTTTTTTTTTTTTAAAAGGATTCGCGATTGACCTTACCTTAAACCTTTCCATATGAGGTAGAGTGTTCTGTGTCATTTGCTGTGATTATTGAGTCCCGCGGTACCTTTAGACCTTCACCTATCTCTGGAGCAAACTCACGTGGTGAGTGTCTCATCCGGCCCCCTGGACCGAGACGAACTAAAGAAAGCCATCAGGTATTGCGACATTTGCGAGTCTTATTTATTTCCACCCATGATGTGAGCAACAGCAGTCGGTATCCAAGCTAAAACTGAGCCATTCATGCATGAAATACAACACGACAACCCGCCATGAGCTCGCTAATGACATTCTCTACGCCAAGAGGAAGCTGTGCAACGACTTTAGTATCCGCTGCCGTATCCACCGCCGTTTCCACCGTATCCACCACCCTGTCCACCGTTTCCACCGTGCCCACCGCCGTTTCCGCCGCCGTATCCACCGTCGTTTCCGCCGTGTCCGCCGTTTCCTCCGCCATGCGAGGCGTATCCCGAGTAGGTCACCTCGGCGTTGTGTCCGCCGTAGCCGTACTGGTCCGAGTGGTACTTGACGTGCTGGGTGCGGCCGTCCGGCAGCGCCACGCTGTAGTAGCCCTGGGCCGCCTTGCCGTCGTTGCTCTCGCTGTGGGAGAACTTGGGGCCGTAGTGCGGGTCGTCGACGCCGTAGGAGAACTTGTAGGAGGTGGGCACGCTGTGGTCGCCGCCATAGCCGACTCCGTGCCCGCCTCCGTGTCCGCCTCCGAGCCCGCCTCCGTGCCCGCCTCCGTGTCCGCCTCCGTGTCCGCCTCCGGCGCTGACGGCGGCCACCAGGAGCGATGCGATAACCAGCACCTTCATACTGCTGCTGAGCTGTGGCTACACTGCTGTGGACGCTGGGTGGACTGGTGGTCTGACCGCTGGCCGTCTCTGTTATATACGGCTGGGTTCGGGGCTGGTGATGGGGGCAGCCGAGGGTGACCGGGCTGCCCTCACGACTGGGGTACAGCCGGGTCCCGATTCGTGCCGTACCGATTCTGGCAAACATGCATATTGCAATTTGATATAGTTTTTTTTTGTTATATTTAAAGACCATAAACAATTATAAAGACATTGTTTTAGACTTCATTAATCCGTAATGTACTGTTGCTTTGGGAACAAGGGATCAGAAAAACAAATGTTAAACTAAAAAAAAAATTGTAAGCATAGTTTGCAGAACTCACTCACATATACTGACGGATCCATGGGGAGAGGAGTCATTTGGGGCCAGTGCGCCCCCCGCCTTTTTAGAATTTTGAGATTTTCTTAGGGGTCTTGGGCCCCTCGCAGTGTGCAAGACCGCCTTTCTGGATCCGCCAGTGCTCACTTAAAAGGAAAACTTAGCCTGAAATACCGGGGTTCATTTGAGCTAGTGATCCTGAGGCCTTCAATACAAGGGGCATCGCTTATCACATGTTGCGAGATTAGCCGTGTTACGAAGTTTCAGGTTTGCAGTGACTTCATTACACCTGCTGTTTGCATTGGAGCACGCACCAAATCACATCATAGTTAGTCAACCGTAACACTTTTCCTCCCAAGGGCAGAGCATTGTCAGACGTGACCCGGCTGCGTCGCCAGTCGTGAGCCGTGAGGGGAGCCCAGGTCAGCCCGGTCACCCTCGGCTGCCCCCATCACCAGCCCCGAACCCAGCCGTATGTATATAACAGAGACGGCCAGCGGTCAGACCACCAGTCCACCCAGCGTCCACAGCAGTGTAGCCACAGCTCAGCAGCAGTATGAAGGTGCTGGTGATTGCATCGCTCCTGGTGGCCGCCGTCAGCGCCGGAGGCGGACACGGAGGCGGGCACGGAGGCGGACACGGAGGCGGACACGGAGGCGGGCACGGAGGCGGGCACGGAGGCGGGCACGGAGGCGGGCTCGGAGGCGGGCACGGAGGCGGACACGGAGGCGGTTATGGCGGCGACCACAGCGTGCCCACCTCCTACAAGTTCTCCTACGGCGTCGACGACCCGCACTACGGCCCCAAGTTCTCCCACAGCGAGAGCAACGACGGCAAGGCGGCGCAGGGCTACTACAGCGTGGCGCTGCCGGACGGCCGCACCCAGCACGTCAAGTACCACTCGGACCAGTACGGCTACGGCGGACACAACGCCGAGGTGACCTACTCGGGATACGCCTCGCACGGCGGAGGAAACGGCGGTGGAAACGGCGGATACGGTGGAAACGGCGGCGGACACGGCGGTGGACACGGTGGAAACGGTGGACACAGTGGAAACGGTGGTGGATACGGCGGTGGATACGGTAGCGGTCACTAAAACTGTCTTATCACCCCTTTTTATCGAGTGCTGACGACAATAACCTATCGAACACCGTTCGTGATCGAATTCATGTGAATTTTGATCGTATCCAATATACCAGTAAAGCGCCTTTTGGGCGAAGAACGAGCGAGCGAGATAGTGAGCCCTGCACATGCGGAAGGGCGAGAGGGTGCTTCCAACGGGCTTGCGCAAAGCACCGTTCTAACTGGTCGCTAGCGGTGTGCCAAATTTGAACGCAATCGGCCCAGCCGTTCCTGAGATCTGGAAGCGGCATTCTGCACGTGCGCACGCACGTGCAAACGGGGTCCAAAATGACTTCTGCACGGCACCCTACTAACTGGTCCCCAACCGTGTACCATATTTGAGCGCAATCGGCCCAGCCGTTCTCGAGATCTGGAAACGCCCCCTGCACGTGCGCACGTGCAGTAGCACCCTAACCGCAACACATGGGAATGCATTGCCTGGTGGGTGCCTACCTGTATGCCAAGTTTCAGCGAAATCGCCCCAGTAATTACCGAGTTACTGAAATGGGAACAAATTTGGCACCTCTTATTGTTGTATTTTGCACGTGCACTGGGGGTGACCCACATGCATCGAGAGTATCCTATTTTGGGTAGAAGGGATGCTGCTACCCTACAAAAATTACCGCAAGTCAATCGCCCAAGCGGCTGCTGAGATATGAGCCTCTCAAAATCACTAATTTTGCAAAACAGCTTGAACACCCTTGACTTTTCACGTGGCACGTGCCACGACGGTCACTGAGATGTATCAAAAGTAGTCAATTACGGGGTAGAAGGGATGGGGCTACCCAGCAAAAAAGACCGCAGGCCAATCGGTCCAGCGGTTGCTGAGATATAAGCCTCTCAAAAGCGTTACAGGCCGGGCCGGGCCGGGCCGCTCATACTGAGATTTTTCCGTTATATTGAAAAGACTCACTTCGCTCGCTGCGCTCGCTCGCTCGTAATAAGTTACGCTGACATTGGAGATATGTTTTATCTGCGCAGCTTCAAATGTTGATATTTTTACCTGAATTTATAATGAGTTTCCAAATACCTATTAGAGATATTTGGGACAGAAGTTGAGTAAGTCTTATTTCTGGCATATTGGCTTACAGCGCCAAGTAACGTAAAAACATAAGCACAAATATTTATGGTATATATGCCTATACAAGTAAAGGAAGTCACACGAGTGCGTTATTCATTCTTATTTTTATGTCTTTTTTCATAACTGCCGATAATTTTTCTTGTACAAATAAAGTAGACGCACTCCAAATGGCCAAAGATAGGTACTGATTTTTTTTTAACGGTTATCCCGGAGGAGTACGATCGTAGAGGAACAGCTATCCACCGGTTATTTAGCGCGATAGCGGTCAGCCCGAAACACGAAAAAACGCGATCCAGAACGGAAATGGCTAGCTTTGAAAATATAAAAGACGGATGTGGGACAAATAACTATGAGAATGTAAAGGCTGAAACAGACTCTTTCCGCATTTAGGAAATCGCATGCGACTCATGCGAAAGCCTATTCAAATACGTTATAATTCTTCTCGCATAATACATTATAAATCTTCTCGCATCAATCGCTTGCGGGAGGTGCTTGCGATTGATGCGAGCGTGCTTCCATGTATTTGAATAGGCTCTCGCATGCGATTTCCTGACTGCGGAAAGAGTCTGTTTCAGGCTTAAATCATCAGCGGGATTGTCTGATCGCATCAGCAAGATAAAACCTCACTCGTTTGCCAGCAGGGCCTCGCGGCTCGCAAAGCTCTTACGGAGAGAGCTCATGATAGGGAGGTCAACCGTCAAAGTAATGCCGTTTTGATAGCTCTGCTCTGCACGATGCTTCTCACCTCTTGCCGTACACCTGCCCCCTGGCGGTAGTAGCCTGTACTACAGGTACCCAGGTGGCCCGCGGGTCACACACCCGCCGTAACGCTCCTACAAGTGGAGCGGCTGCGATCAATAAGCCCGGCTTTGTGGCAATGCCATTCACAGAGCTGAGACCGAGCGGGGGCGCACAATGGACTCGGAACGATAAAGGAATGTGGCGCACACTGCTCAGAGGATAGGGAAACGTCTTAGCGATAGCTAGTCTTGGCAGCACTGCTATGACATTTATTGCCTTGCACGGCGCACGCGATTTCATCATGACTTTATTGTATTCATGACGATTTATTCATACAGGATGCAATCACTGGCACTGGCATTGAGAGTTCCCAGAGATCCTTAGAATCCTTAATTGTCCATCTCTGCCCACCGCTGCTCGATATTTCTTTTTAGTGTTTTTAGGCCCAAACTATACAATTGACCTCGCCAATCGGCAATCTTCATTAAGATAAACCACAAAATGAAAATCCTTCAAGAAAATGGCTCAATTGCTTTGTTTTCAGTGAATCTCGTTAGCATATTCAACAACGGAAATAAGTTAAGACAGAAGACCTTTCGTTTGATATCATCAGACAGCATGCTAGCATTTCATAAAAAAGGAAATGGATATGAATATTGATACTGATGTGAATGAAAGTGTTACAATGCTGTGCTTCGTTCTTTGAAAATCTTTGAATATCTCATTTTTCACATAATTTAAAGAACACCATACCAACTCATAGTTCCGCTTCTATCAAATCACCTTTGCTATGAGATGAAGAGCGTAAAAATTAGTCGTTTTCCTTGCAATCTTTTCCTTTTCTATAAATCAGCGATTTTCGTGACGAGCCAAAATTCCCAGACGTGCCATTTCTATGCCACCACACATTGCAGCTAAAGCGCAGATTTGAGTACATACCTTCCTCGGGCCTCGAGTTCAACAGCCGAGGCCGAATATCCCAGATACTTTTGACGCACACAATTCGAAAGAGCTCGTGACATATGCATTCATTCATGTTTCATCATCCCAGCTAACAGCCATGACCATAAAATCTACATATTGTCGGATTTCACAGACTAATCCGTCTTCCTATCACACCATTACCATACGCAGTGTCTGTTTCTACGCCACTGTAACCACCGTGACCCAGCCCACTATAAAATGTATTATTTAGCCGTCATGGCAGCAACCGGCTGGTGCCACATCAGCAGTTTCTATCGGAGCTGACGGTGACATCCTCGTGACGAGCACGGCCTGATGACATTCCGACTTTAGTACCTATATTAGACACCTGTGGCGGCGTCAATCACTCCCGAACGAGGCATGGCCCATGGGCACGCGGGACGAGCTGCCGCTACCTTGGCACGACCTTGGCTAAAACGGATGGCTGGCTGGGAAGGTCGCAGCGGAGGACAGCGTGAAATTGAGGCACGTACGTGGTGGCGCGATGTCGCCTGATGTCTGTGGAGCGGTGGCATCGGTCGGTGTGGGGTAGAAAGGACAATGCACTAGACTTGACATGATTTGATGCGCATGCTATGCAGTCCATGAGTATCCAATGGAGCGCACCACTGCCGCGCAGTCTGTTACTGAGTTTCTGGTCAGTCGGATAAATAGAATGACGCGGATTACCTAAATGGACGAAAATTCTCCTGAAGTAGTGTTCCTGTTCATGGAGCGCATATGAAAAAAATCGATTGGTTTCAACAT